TCTATCTCAGGAACACCCATATTGAGACTCTTGAAAACCATGTATCTACAGACAGACTACAAGTTACATTAAGTGGAAAGTTCTAACTTGTCTTTTCTGTTTTTTTAACTGACCAACACAGGTGCAGTGGAATCAGAAACATCACCTCATTTCTTCTCCACAGCAACAACCCCAACAGGTAGCCATTATCCCCATTTTACCAATGAGGAAACTAGGGGATCAGAGAGGCTAAGTGATTCTCTGAAAGTCACACAGCTTCCAAGCAGCAGATGTGGAACGGAACCCAGGAGTCTGATACAACAATGGCACTGAAGGTGTACCAAGCTATTCTGGTTCCCCTCACCACACACAAAGGATTTATTTAGCTAAAGCCTATCTTATGTACATCGAGGCAGCAAAAAAAGACAATGTTTACATATAGCCATGTTCACTGCAGGACTGACTTAAAAATGAAAGCAGGACATGATAGAAAGCAACATGGAAATAGTAAAGTTTGGAATTTGAGACAGTCATAGAAATATGTTTAGGGAAAGTTTTGGTTAATGTAGAAAAATGCCCCTTAAAAACAGCACACAAAAAATCAGCCTGGGGCGGTGGGGGACAGTCAAACTGCACATAATATGCAGTGTGAGCCCAAGTCTGTAAACGTACAGGCACATCATCCAGACCAGGGAAGGTCCCCAGTGTTAATGAGGTACCCACTCAGGGTTAGGATTAGCAATGATTTCTGTTTTATCCTTCATGCTTCATATTTTCTCCATTTTCTATGTTGTTCACACTAAACACCTATTTCATTCATGATCAAAAAGAAAAAGTTTAGCCCTGGCCCTTGTGGCTCAGTTGGTTGGGCGTCATCCTGAGCTCCGCAAGGTTGCGGGTTCAATTCCTGGTCAGGGCTTGACCCCCATGAAGGGGTGTGCAGGAGACAGCGAATTGCCTTGCTCTCACCCCTCTCCCTTCCTCTCTTTCTAAAAATCTTTTTTTTTTTTAAGGGAAAGTTTTAAGGAAGCTTATTGAAAGAACTCCTAAGCAAATCATTATGTAAAACAGATAAACAACACCTAATTCGTACATTTTGTTTATGATCCTTTGTGTTTCAAAACTCTCACGTTTTCACACACACAAGCGAGAAGCATGCCCTGTGCCTTTGGGAACGCCCCGGAAGCCTGGCACGGGGTCCGCAAACAGCCGACCACAGGGGTGACTGCGTCTGTTTCAAGGAGGTCAGGTCAGTGCTTTTTCCTTCAGAAAGGGCCTCGGAGTCTGAATGCTACCTTTACATGCAGGGGGTATTCAAGTGTGTTGAGCCAAATGAGGACACGGAGAAAGGAGACGAGTACATAAAAGGGTGTCCGTGTTGGGATCACAGCTACGGGAAACAGATGCCCAACACAGACGTGGGCAGGCAGGGATCGCCGAGCACGAAAACAGAGCATCGGTGCGGAGCTATGAGTCATTGTTTTATTTTGCTTAATTTCTCTAGCTGTAAATTTTTCAAAACTAATATAAGCATATTTTACAGCTCGCAGAACATTTAGAACATATTAAAATAAGTATCTTTCCACTGTAATGTGCCCAATTGAAATTTATGAATTCCAAAGCTACATTTTAAGGAGATGAAGAAACTGGCACTCCACGTTCTTTGGATTAATCAGATGGATTGTGTTGTTTTTCTCCTGATCAGGAAAAAAAAATCGCATTTCACTATTACCTTGAATCAAGGATTCTTCCAGATTCTAGAAGCTTGCAGTGAGCTGCTTATTTTAAGTCTCACCGTGCCCCCTAGTGGCAAAAAGAATTTATGCACTTAAAATACAGTCCTTTCCCAAAGGCTAGTAATAAAATCCAAAATTTTTTTTAATCTTTACTGCTCACTTAACATGTAAAAACTTTGTGCCACGTGCTACAGAGAATACCAGGCTGGGTCTGACACAGACCCCATGCTCAGGAGCTTGGGCTCCACCAGGTGCAGACCTGCTTCTGTGGCCACGCGGGAAGGAGACACCCCACACTCGAAGGGAGCAGGTGCCTGGAGAAAGCCGCAACAAGAGAGAGCGCACAGGCAGTGCCTGCGACGTGTCAGCCATCACGCTGGGTAACTCATGCCCAATGTCTTTTCTTTTTCACCAAAACCCAGAAAGGCATGTCCAGATCCAGGTTCCTCCACCCCTGCCACAATTCTTCACACTGAAAAGTTGCTTCAAATCACTTTGCCCCAAAACCCATTTTCCAGATGACTCTGTTACTGAAAACTCAAACATCTTAAAGCAGAACCATGGCTAACAGTTTGTACCTGTGGCTTATAAAAGCCCTGATTTTCAAGACACCACAGTAAGAAGAGGAAGAGGAGATGCTGACCAGGACAGCAGCCATGCTCTGCCCCTGGGGCCACCTCCAGTGCCACCCCTGCAGCCCCCTCTTGGAGGACAAACAGTATAATGGAGAGGGCGCCCTGGAGGCTGCCAGGCCGCTAGCAGACACCACCTCCTCAGGATAAGTGCACACAGCAACTATATCCAGCCCAGTCCCACCACAAAAGGTCTTGGACCCAGGTGTCAGTGAATCACCCCCAGCGGAGTGACAGCCCCTGGGCCTGAGCAGCCTTCCCAAGCTGGACCAAGTGCGCCCTCTTCTGGCCATGAGGTGTCACCTCTAGTTGGCTTCTCTCAGTTCCCCTCCACGAGGGCCTCTCTACATCCCCAGTGCACACTCACCTGCTCCACAAACACCTGCTACACAACGGAACAAACACAACATCCCAAATCAGTGGTTTCATTGAGATGCTCTGTTCGAAAAGTGGATGCCTCTGCTCAGAAAACCTAAACATCCCAGGCCAAAGTGATCCAAGCACAGCCCACAGAGCATCTCACTGATTCACAGTTCAGACCCATCTCCACTGGGCTCCAGGCATGCCCCTCACCATCACAAGACATGATCCCTTGGAGTAGTGGACACCCCCTCAGGCACACCTGCCACCCCTGCACCCCTCCACACATCTTTGTCCACAGCAACCCAGACATCCTTCAAGACCTGCCCACAAGCCTGCTTCCTCCTCGAGACTGTGCTGGCAACGTCTGCCAAACGGTTCCTCCCTCCAGGTATAGAGGGGTGCCGCATCCCTCTGGTGGCCCGCCTGCAACCCCACTACAATCCCCAGAACTCCACCGTGCATTTTAGACCGGGCGCTTTAGACACACAGCACCCAGGCATTTGTCCCACCTGAGAAGTCCCAGCCATATAACGCATAAGCTTGTTCTACTGAGGGGGAAACAGGCTCAGAGAGGTTAAGTGCCTTCCTCAAGGTCACAAAGTTACTGGGGATGGAACCAAACCCTGAGCCCAGGTCACTCCAAATCCAGCCCACATCTGGGGCCTGCCAGACACTGCCTGGCCCCACAAAGACCCCCCCACAGTCCCCTCCATGGACACAGACTCTCAGGAAGGAGAGCAGAGAAGCCCCAGGAGTGTGGGATGGATCCACTGACGGCACAGCAGGGTGTCGAAGCCTGAGCGGTGGCCAGAGGGCCCGCCTCGCAGGAAGAGCACCAAAGACCTGCGTGCAAACCCCTGGGCTCCAGACTGAAGACAGAGCAGGGCACTGTCCCCGCATAACCCTGCCAGCCTTGCCAGAAAAGAACACAGACAAGGTTCAGAACTCAAACTGGCCGCTTAAAAACAACACCCAATGATTTAGCTCATGGCAGAGACTTCACCACAGGTGGGCTTCCTTTCTTCACGCGGGAAAATGCCTCCCTAGGGGCAAAGCTCAAAGCAGTGCTTGCAGATACAACATCCTGGCAGGCTGGCTGCAGAACTCTGAGGAAGACAGAGGGAGGAAAAGGCATCTGCCGAACACCTGGCGGGTAGCTAGCTCTGTGCCAGGGGCTTCGCAAGCGTTTCTCTCACATGATCACAGACACTGGTGTGATTATGCCCTTTACAGATGAGCCGCCAGACTCGGAGGCACAGCGAGGCCAGTGGAGCAGCCGGTCCCCAGCAAAGCCGATGCGAAGCCGCTTTCCTCCCAGGAGGCTTTGGCTCACTCAGCGTTATCTGGCCCCTACGACACGCCAGTGCTCTGCAGGTGCCGAGGACAGTGCGGAGGGCAGAGTGCAGCTCAGAAGGGCCGGAGACAGGTTACAGGCAGGCGCCACACACCTGTTACACTACATACCTGAGCCACTGGGGCTAGCTCCCTGCGAGTCCGCATTACTCCAGTGTAAGTTAAATAAATAAATAACAATGAAAAGTGAGCTTCTGTACAAACTGGAAGTTCCCCAGAGGACACCCACAGTCCCCCCAGCCTGGCCCCTGCCTACTTCCCCAGCCTCGGGTCCATGTTTACAGCCAAGAATGCCCTTCCATCCCTCCACACCCCTAACCAAGTATACCTCCCCTCCTTCTGGAAGCCTTCGCCCAGCCCTCCCAGGGATGCCATCGCTCCCACTTGACTTGTGTGTCCGGCCGGGGGCCCTGTCCTTCCAGGCCTGAGCACAGGGTTGTGAGTGCGTCTCCACTCATCCATGGCCCCTACTGTACTGTGTGCTCCCTGAAGCCAAGGACCAGGTCTGTGTACCTTTGAACCCCCTGCACCCAATGCAGCACCTGGCACCGAGCTGGCACCGCTCAACACTGATGGGAGTCACAGAAGATGTCCCGAGTTCCTGGGGCTCGGCCTGGGCTGCCTGCTTTTCCCTCTGATTGCTCTCGCCCAGTGACCTCATCCTCCCTGGACTTCAGAGTGTCTGGACGTCCTCAATGCCCCCACAAGGGGTAAGGACTAGCATCCTCTGGCGGCCTGGCAAGGCAGAGCCAGTGAGGCATGGGCTGCATGGACCAGCGACCCAGGGGGGCCCATTGAGAACCCTCTCCTAAATGCGACAAGAATTACAGAAACTCCCAAAAAGAAACAATCAGCCTATAACCCCTACGTCACCGTTTAGAAGAAAACAGCCAGCAGTTCAGACCTGAGGGTACCTGAGGGTCTCACTCTGTCTTACCTTGAAGGTTTTATCCATAGAAGCTGAGAGGAACATATGGCTCCTTGAAGAGACTGGACACCACTGAATGCTGTTGACGGGGCCCCTGTGGCCCCGCAGGTAAAAGAGCACCTTCCTGGCTATCTGGGTTTCTTTGTACGGAGTGTCCAAATACGGCTGAATAAACTCGGACACCCTGGGGGCCATGCACAAAGGGCCCGGGGTGCGCCCCGCAGAGGGACCCTGGGCCTCCACATCTGGACTCTTGCCTGTCTCTGTGCTTAATGCCTGCAACTGTCTCAGTCTTTTCGGGATATAGGGTACAACACAGTCCTCACGCCTTTTCTTCGGAAGAGAGCTGCCGTTTTCACCTGGGCTTTCAGACTTGGTATGGGCACGGAGAGATGGCTCAGAGAGGTCAAAAGTTCCCCAGGAGAGCTTCACCTGCTTAAAACGGGCAGCTGCCAGGGGCACATGGCCAGCGGGAGCATGGCTGGTCCATAGGGAAGGATGAGGAGGCTCGCTGGTTGGGAAGGTGACTTCAGGTTCTGTCCTGGGCCACTGTAGCCTCTGGCTGGGGCAAGATCCTGGGTCCCTTCTCCAGAGCCGAGCCAATGGGAGATGTTCGCCAGCTGGGGATTCGCAAGAACCTTGCTTCGTGGCCCCTTCCATCACGTCCAGGACTCCCGATGCAAAATCCTGGCCACAAGGTTTGACCACATCACAGGTGTCTTTCATTTGGCCCGCAGCATCAAAATTTCCCATGGGCTCGCTCTCAGCCTCTGAGTCCGAGTCATCATAAGCCACCAAAGAAGCCATTGAAGACACAGTTTCTTGCTGAACTTCGAGGGTAAACTACCTAAGAACAAACAAAGTCGGGTGTCAGAAAACGTGCATGGAATAATACTTACCACCACGAGAAGTTAAAAGAAAATATGCCATCTAGCAAATCCAAGATGGAAAATCCCACAAGAATAAACACATAAAGCACACAGACTTTTCTACATGTCAGGCATGGTTCGTTAGATGTCATTTTTAAAAATAAAGACTACTGCCAGGCGGGTGTGGCTCGCTTGGTTGAGCGTTGGCCCGTGCACCAGGAAGTTGCTGGTTCGATCCCCAGTCAGGGCACATGCTCAGGTTGCAGGCTTGATCCCCACTGGGGGATGAGCAGGAGATAGCCGATCGATATTTCTCTCTCATCGATGTTTCTTTCTCTCACTCTATCTTCCTGTCTCTGAAATCAATAAAAACATATTTTAAAAAATAAAATAGCCCTGGCCGGTTTGGCTCAGCGGTTAGAGCGTCGGCCTGCGGTCCTGAGAGACCTGGGTTCGGTTCCCGCTAAGGGCGCGTACCTCGGTTGCAGTTTGTCCCCGGCCCTGGGGGTGGCAGTCACTCGATGTGTCCCTTTCACATCGATGTTTCTCTCTCTCTCTCTGTTCCTCTCTCTCCCTCCCGCTCTACCTGAACAAAAAACAAAACAAAAAAAATGTCCTCGGGTGAGGAAAAAATAAATAAATAAATAAAATAGCCCTGCAAGGTTTGGCTCAGCTGTTACAGTATCAGCCCATGGACCGAAGGGTCACAGGTTCCATTCTCAGTCAAGGGCACATACCTAGGTTACAGGTTCGATCCCCGGCCCTGGATAGGGTCATGCAGGAGGGCAACCTATCGCTGTGTCTCTCTCACATCGATGTTTCTCTCTCTCCCTCCCTCCCATCCACCCCATCTAAAAATCAATGGAAAATATCCTTCAGTGAGGATTAACAAAATAATAAATAAACATAATAAAATAAAATAAAAATAAAGATTAATGGCCCTGGCAGGCGTTTCTCAGTCATTAGAGTGCTGACCCAGGCACCAAAGAGTGAAGGGTCTGATTCCCGGTTAAGAGCATGTACCTGGGTTGCAGGTTCAATCTCTGGACCCGGGGAGCATTCAGGAAGGCAACCAATGAATGTGTGTCTCTCACATTGATATTTCTCTCTTCCTCTCTCTCAATCTCTCCCCACCACCCTTCCTCCCTTCCTCTCACTATTCCTTAAATCAATGGAAGACTTCCCTGGCCAGTTTGGCTCAGCCCACAGACCAACGAGTCACAGGTTCAATTCTGGTCAAGGGCATGTACCACGGTGGTGGTTCGTCCCCAGCCCTGGTCGGGGTCATGTGGGAGGCAACCAATCGATGTGTCTCTCTCACATCGGTGTCTCTCTCTCTCTCCCTCCCTCCCACTCTATCTAAAGATAAATGGAAAAATATCCTCAGGTGAGGATAAAAACAAAAATTTTAGCCCTGAGCGGTTAGAGCAACGGCCTGTGGTCCAGAGAGACCCGGGTTCGGTTCCCGCTAAGGGCACGTACCTTGGTTGCAGTTTGTCTCTGGCCCTGGTTGGGTCATGCGGGTGGCAGCCACTCAATGTGTCCCTTTCACGTTGATGTTTTCTTTCTCTCTCTCTCTCTTTCTCTCTCCCCCCCACTCTATCTGAACAAAAAAAAATAGAAAATGTCCTCGGGTAAGGATAAAAAAAAAAAGTTTTAATTAAATTAAAAAAGAAGACTATGGAAATATGGGAATAAATTTAACAGCAACAAAAAATAAGATATACATGAAGAAAACTAAAGCTTTATTGAAAGACATAAAATAGGATCTGACTAACTGCAGACATGATACCTGGCCAGAAAGACCCAGGACTTTAAAGATGCCTTTTGATACAATATACAGATGATATATTATAGAATCGTACACCTGAAACCTATATAATTTTATTAATCAATGTTACCCCCATAAATGCAATTTTTTTAAAAAAGGAGGAGGAGGCGAAACCAGGAAGTGCCAGCCAAATGATCCAGATACTGGCGGACTTTTCCACCACCAACAAGAAATTATAATTATGTGACTTGATAGAGGTATATAGCTAACACTATGGTGGTACTCATATTGCAATATATTAATGTACCAAATCAACACGTGTATACCTTAAACTTACACAATGTTATGTGTAAATTATGTCTTAGTAAAAATAACGATAATAAAAATAAAGATGCCTTTTGGAAGGGAAATTTGGGGAGTATCTATTACACATTCAAGCACATACAGTGCCTCCTACACAAATGCCAGCATATGTCTGCACAGATAGGTGCATAAAGAGAGCCTGCAGCACGCTCACTAGCCATTCACTCATCAACAGGAATGAGGTTAGGTCTGAAAACACTGAGATGGAAAGATGTCCAGAATCCACCAGGTGAGGAAAGCATGTCACCCTCACCTCTGCCCTCCTCCTGGGCTTCAGGCCTTCCTTGTATTCTCCCTAACTCGAACACTCTCCACCCAGATCCATTCTCCACTCTAAGCCAGCTGGAGAGACAGACTGACTGACAACCCAAGGCCAAAGTGCCTGAGACTGTCATCCAAATCTGCCCGTTTCACTCCAACACACAGACTCACACAGAAGCGACTTTCCCCTTTCTAAAACAGTCTTCCTGAAATTCTGAACCACCAAACATAATAAAACTGTTGCCAACTAGTTTCTAAAATGAAGCATTCCACCTGGAATTCAGTTCTGTGCTGTTAACATGAAGTAGCCTCAAGAAGAAAGCAAGGATACCAGCCACATCCCATCCCAGACAGCAGAGGGTGTGGGGGAGCAGCATGGAAAGTGCAAGCAAGGACCAACTTCTGAGAAAGCCCAGTGTGCCCTCCCTAATAACTCACACTGAGCTCCTCCTCCGGCCTGTCCGGTCAGGTCAGCTTCAGGAGGGTCCCTCTGGGTCATCTGTCAAGCCATTCCAAACAGCCTGTTTTCCCCTAGACAGTGGATTTCATGTCCCCTGGAATCAAACACCCCACCCTTTCCATGCTTTTCCCCCAAAGGGTGCTATTCACCCCAATAAAGCTAGGTCATCTGCCTCCTCCCAAAATCTCACCTTCGTCTGCAGCCTAATCCACACACAAAGCAACCGTCTACAGAGAACTTCTACAATGGGTCAGCCTACCTCAAATGGAACTAATATAACATAATGAACTAACTGCAAACTCATGGAACTGAGCACTGCAGATGGTTTGGTATTTCTGTTCTCTAAATACCTAGCCTGGACCTGAGGCCCATCCTGATCACATCTGAACTCCTGTGCCCAGCATCCCATTCCTTCCCGTCGAAGGGAACCCACCGGGTTCCCACACTGGGGCACCTGTGCTCAGCCATTGGGATGGATTCCCACCCAGCCAGCCCTCCACAGGGATCGACTCACAGGAGAAGCCAAGATTAAAGACAAGGTCTAGAGCAAAAAATCAGAGAGTAGTGGGATTAGGCCCACTAGCCTCACTTCCTAATAAGGCAAGGCAGCAAAGACAGAATGAACGCAGGAGAGAGGATGACAGGGATGCCGATCCTATCTGGTTCGTATACCTCTGCTTCCTTCCACTCATTCAGTAAACATTGATGGAGGATGGGCTACTCGCCAGCTCCACATTAGGCACCAGGACACCACAGCCAGTAAGTAAACAATGCCCTCTGCTCACCGTGCTCACATGCCAGTGGGAAGAAACAGACCATAAGCAAGTGAAATGGGGGATGTCAGATGGCGAGAAATCCTGAGAGAAGTAAAACAGAATAGAATAGAGTGGGCTTGGGGTTGCAGTTTCATTTTGGGAGGCCGAGGCCTCGGACAGGTGACATCTGAATAACACTAGGGGGAGGTGAGGGAGCAAATGGTGAGAAGCAACAAATCCAATCAAATGGGGTCAGTGGAGGCAAGGATGACTCAAAGAAATCAGGCAAAACTGGAGAAGACTGGGAACCACTGGGACAAACATAAATTTAAGGGAGGGGAAGGTGTTTGCTGCCTTTTCTGTTTCTAAGGAAAAAAAGAGAAGTTTTTCATGGAAAGACGGGGTGATTAAACTAAGAAGAGATTCAGCTAGAAGAAAAGGAAGGGTCACGGGAGAAACGAGGCAGGGAGTGGCAGTGCTGCATGAAGGCAGTAGTTTCCGGGTGTCGTTCAGTTTGATCCCCGGCATCTGATGGGAGGGGAACACAGAAGAAGTAAAGAAATAGAATATTCTTACTCAACAAACATTTCCTGATTATCTACTCTATGCCAAGCCTTATGTTCGGTCTAGTGTGGACAGAAATGAAACACAAAACATGGATCCTACGCCGGAGGCCACAGACTGATGAAGGCAACAAACACGATACAACCAGAGATGGGGTGGAAGGATGACCAGGAGTTAGCCAAGCTGTCAAGAGCGAGAGGTGAGGATGGTCCCGAGCACTGCGCGTCCGGAAAGAACCGGAGATGAAGGACAGGAGGGCAGCGGTGAAAGGTTCGCGTTAAGGGGCGCGGAGAGCTCCCGCCGCAACCGGGTGCTGCAACCCTCCCGCCCCAGGCCCGCCGCTCACCACACGCACCGGAAGCGCTCGGTCCTCCCGGAGCCGGTCCTGCCTGCACTCCGCCCCCGAGTCGCGTTCCGCCGGCGCTGAGGCCGCCAACCAATCAGCGGTGACCTCTGTCCCGCCTCCGCGCGAACAGCCAATGATGGCGCAGCCTGGACGGAAGTTGTTCCGGCCGGAAGGCGTTTCCACGGACGCCCAGGAGACCACTGGACGCTGAAGCGGCGGCGCTGACAGGCTCGCATGGGCTGGTAAGTGAGGGAGGGAGGAAGGGAGGGAGGCCGGGGCAGCGCCCGATGACCTGGCCCTCCGGGAGCTGCCTGCACGCCCAGGGTATCCTCCTGAGAGCCGGGCTGGCTGCCACCACGCCCCTCGCCCCCTTCCCCGCGTGCTGCCCACTCCCGCTGGCACCCACCCTTCATCCTCTCCCACCTCCTCCCTTTTCTCAAGGGTTTCTTGTGCCACGGGCTTTGCCTATAGTATGGTACTTAGTCCCCTCCACAGTAAAGTTGGGAGGCTCCTTTGTGGCCATTTCACAGAAGGGGAAGCCGAGGATGAAGCAGAGAGGTGATCTGACTTGCCCAAGGGCTTGCAACAAGAAAATGCCAAAACTGGCTTTGAAACCCATGTCCGTGTGACCCCAGAACTCGAGTTCTTCCCACTGCACTGCGCCGCCTCCATCCACCACAGCCGCAGGGAATTTACAGCCCGCCTCTCTCCGTCCCCCCAGGACCACACACACACATATACACACGCTGGGTTGAGGGTGTGGGCCGGGAAGAGGGCGGGGAGGTTATGTGGAGGCCAGCATGCGGTATGGGGTGGCTGATGCAATGACCAGCTAATAGCTGGGCTTTCAAGAGGGTTCCACTGTCTCCAACCCCCGCCCCCCACCCGACCCACCCCCCCCCACACACACACACACACAACCCACCTCTGATTGGCCAGTCTCATCAGGAATTGGTCAAGAGGTTCGATGTTTGTAAGAAGCAGGGTGATTTATAAGAAACCCCTACAGCAGATAGCCAAAGGGTGGGGTAAACAGGAAGAAAAAAGAAAGAGGCTTTTTTAAAAAGGAAACTGAAAGAAAGAGGGGGAACACTATAAAAGAGGAGCCCTGCTGCACTGGGCAGTCTCAGCGACTCCGGTGGCCGCCTCTGCAGTGTCTCCCACAGCCCAGGTATGTACTGCCATCTTTTGTTAGGCTTAGAGCTCATCAGTAATTTTACCAGCGTTTTACCAAAATGCTGGAAACCTTGGCTTGTTGAGAGGGTGTCTCTCTGAAGAGCAGGGTGTTGTACATTTTATTTCGTCCCATTGACCCAAAGTTCAGGTGATTCACAGCTTCCCTAGGGAATGGAGGTACTGGGTGAGCAGGTGCCTGCTTGGACTCATAGCTTGAGTTTTAGCACCTTCTTGCTGGCTGTCTCATTTTTTACTGATGGTGCCTCTTTAAAGAGTCAACATCCAAACGTTAGCCGTCTTATTGTGATACTCAAAAATACTTTATGCCTGACTTCATGTAGATTAATGTCTTCTTTGTCTTTTAAGATAATGCTTATTTTATTATTTAGAGAGGAAAAAAAAATAACCTTTCCTCTCAGTGTTCAGAAAAGAAACAGCGAACATAATCTGCTCTAAGGTTTAGAGCTCCTTGCTCTAAAGAAGTCATCGTCTTGTCCTCTGGGAACTTGACCATCCAAGGCCATTGTTGCCCACACTCTGGATCCAGGTGTGAAGGATGGTATCCCACCTCTGGTGGTATTCCAGGCATCTTGAAACTCGTGGGTCACCTTCCTGGCTCTTCCCGGCTGCTCCAGATTTGGCTATCCTGAGGCCACCTTTCCCCAGATTTTGGAATGGTTATGTTCTGAACTTATCTGTGCAATGAGATCATTGTCCATAGAAGAGTTCTGAAAGTCTTCTTTTCATCCCAAAACTGTACCCAGTTTCTTCATATGCCTGCTATGCTCCTCCAGAACAATGGAGCCTTTCAAAATGACCACAAGATGCAAGTTCTTTAAAAAGAGAAACTGAAAGTTAATTTTTAAGAGACTTGTAGCTTTCTAAGGTTTGCTATGACCCACTGGGGAGTATGCTGTATTAGTCTTTATTCTCCCAGTACTTTTTTAGAGGAGATAATAGATGACTTCCCAGATTATAGCTTCATTTATTTGTTGTAGATTTTGGTTTTGGTTAAATAGATAAACCAACTTTCCTTAACAAAGATTCAAATACCTATCTGCAAATTATGGGGTTAACACTTAAAACAATGATCCTTAGCCTTTGGGGATCTCAGACCCCTTTGAAAAGGTAATGAAACCTGGATAGTCTGCTTAGAACCCCCGCTAAAGTGCAAGCAAACTAGTGATGTAATTCCAGAAGCTCCAAACTCTGGGTTAAAAACCTCTGAAGGTAAACTTAATTCTGAAAGTGGTTAACAAAGAAATAAAGGAGGGTGTTGCCTAGATGGGAGAAAAGGTGGCAAATGGGTAGGTGCAATGAAATGAGAGCTGTGGTAGCTCTGTTCTCCTTTTCTCTGATCATTCCTGGTGTATGATGCAAAGTTGCATCATACACACACACAAGATTTATAGTGTGGGTGAGTCCCACGCAATGAGTATCTGCCTTGTGATCACAGGAGCAGGGAGACCTCAACTTTCCCTCAGTCAGATTCGTTCTTGTGTGCCTTTTCTTAAATGGGATTCTGATATTTAAAGATACATGTTTCCCCTACAACATGGACCCTAAATGCAGGCCCAGTTTGTCTGGTTGATCACCTGCAGTGACTTGTTCCGCTGCAGGAAAAATTGGCTATCCGGGGATCACCCAGGCATTGTACCTGGCACTTTCCCTAGGAGTTTTTGAGGGTCATTTCAATCTGTACTTGATTTTGGACCTACTCGCAGACTTCAGAACTTGACTGATAATGTTGGAGAGATAGTGCAGGAACTGAACTCTGGTTTATGACAATTAGACTATGATAAAACTGGTTATGTGTCATTTCACTTAAAGTGGCAGAACTTATCAATGACATTAAGCAAGGATTTACTAAACTGTGCACCCAGCTTTGAAAGTTGGGGGAATTCGGCATCATGTGTAAAGTGTCTGCACATGATATTTCGTCATTTGTGACTAGGAGTACTTTTCTTCACTTTGCTATTTGATATGAGCAAATAGGTGTGTCTCCTCTCTAGTACCAGTCACAAGTTCCTCCACATTCCCTGTCTTTTTTACAGACTTCCCTAAACTCTGAGCTTTATCTGAGTCTTTAGTTTCCTCTCCGAACTTCCCTTTCTGAGAACTGAGGTGATTCTCAGCAAGGACGGGAAAGAAACCCATCCTGGTTTTAGTGGATAAATAAAAATAAATTACCCCTCAAATATGTGTTTGGTTCATCGAGTTAACAGAAAAAAATGTTCGATGATTAAAGAAACAAAGTAGTCATTCATTTACTTACTACTGGCACCATCGCACTTATGCACGCACTGTCCTGCAGTTGGTGTTGTGATGGTTGTTCCCACTTCACAGTTGAGAGACTGAGGCGCATCCCAGGTGGGTGACCTGTAGGATAATGTTTGAGAGTGTAGGCTCTCGGGTCCAGATGTGTGAGTTTGTATCCTATCTCTGCCACTTACTTGTGTTATCTTGGGCAAGTTTTTAACCTCTATGTGCCTCAGTTTACTCATCTAGGACATGGAAATAAATCTCTCTCATAAGGCCTTGAATTGATACGTGTAAGTGCTTAGAACAAGTACCAAGGACAGAAGTGCTCAAAGGGGGCTGCTCCACCACAGCCTCATTGTCGTGGTCACCTTCCTCATCTAGGTGTGGCAGCACGGTACAGACGGAGCTGGGGCTCAGCCTGCTCTGGAACCCTCCTCGCGCACAATACTCTAAAGGTTTTAGCCTTGCTTTACAGTTTATAAGATGCTATCCTGTTGTTTATTCTCATTTCCTCTCACAACAGCCCTCAAGGTAGGTGAAGCTGACCCTCAGAAAGGGGAAGTGACTGACCCAAGAGGGTACTGATTGTGGCCAGCCTTTGCCCCAAGGCTGCATCAGGAGGCCTGCCCTGTGCCCCTCCCCCCTTCGAGGTTAATAGTAAATAATGACTAGTAGTTACCCCTTCTTCAGAGTTTTGCAATTAAATGAGGCAGCCTGTCTAATGCACAGGCTATATAAAGGTCTTACCTCATTTGGAACCTAGCCGGGGAAGGCCCCGCCCTCTACCCCCGGCCCTTGCTTCATCTGAGAACAGAGCAGCTGGCCCTGCAAGGAGGCTACTTGTTCAGCAGTAGGTTGGTCTTATCAGCAAAGAGCTGGGACTTTGTCTGCAACACAGTTAAAGAGTAAATAGCAATTTGCCAAATGTGGTTAGGGTTGTTAGAGTCCTCTAGAGTTTGCTCCCTCTGCAAACAAAGTCCTTCTGACATCCTGGGCCCTGGGTGGGGCACACTTGGTCTTGGTTAGGAAGAGCCTCCTTTGCAGTCCTTAAATCTATAAACCAGTATTCCTTTAGGCCTCGTTTTCGGCATTTGTTCTTCTTTTTCCCTTTATCATGGCCCCAAATTTCTGCTTATATTTTTATTAATGTTATTTTATCCGTATTCTTTATTATAACTTACCTCCAAACTTTTAGGAATGAAAAAGGACTTGAAGCAGGAAAGAAAACACAGCTGCACTGGTTTGTTAATATCTCCACCCCCTTCCCTCCCTCTTCTCCCACACAGTTTGTAGGGACCACTGAGCAACTCTTCCAGCACCCAGCTGTAAGCCTAGGTCCTGGGAGATGGCGGACGAGCAGGGGTGTGTCTCCCCGCTGGAGCTGTTCAACTGCATAGCTGCCCAGGGGGAGCGCGTGAAAACCCTCAAGGCCGGGCAGGCATTGAAGGTGGGTGATTTTGCTGGCTCTCCACACATGCACCTGCCAAGTGTGTCGGGGCATGTTACCCAGGAGCCGACTGTTCTCTCCATGACTATCACCATTGGCTATCATCTTACATCCGTCTTCTCCTTTATCAGCGTCCTCGATGCGCACGATTTAAAGAAAAGCCACTGAAGTACAGCAGTCATCCACCTGCCCATCCCCGTGTCCTACTCCCGGGAACAAGTACTTTCCATTCTTTTAGCAGATTCTTTGATATAACCCCACCCCCATACCCCTATCTCTAAAAATCACGCTTATATTGCTCCCTGTTGATTTTCCAGTTCAAGGCTTTCACTGTGGAAGATAAGGAATCAGCACTTTCGTAAACACTCCCATCCCTCTATCTTCTGATATCTGTGTCCCTTGGTCGACATTAGCATTGACGTCATTCTGACCATGGAGACGCTACCTGCCAGCAGCTGACCCACTGACTATACTGCGTGCTTTTCCTTTCCTGCCCAACTTTCTTTTCTCTGGAGTTGATTAATTTGTCTTCATTTCTTTTTGCTTGGCTTTTTTATGGATGATGGTGATGGGTCTCCAAGCTGTCCCTCAATTGGGTGAATCCCCGCTGGAGGCACTCACATCAACCAGTCAGGTTCTTGAAGAGGTCTGTCCTGAGCCTCTGCCTGCTTTGCTGTGGACTGGTAGCTCACCCCCCACACTGCCCATCATAGGCCCTTCTCTCACTGTCCACCCGGGGCTCCCTCACCTCTCTGTGGGTCCCTGTCTTACTCCTCTGTGGTGAGCTGTCTTTGAAAAGGCACAACAGCCCTGGCTGGTTTAGCTCAGCGGTTAGAGCATCGGCCCTCGGATCAAAGAGTCCCGGGTTTAATTTCTGCCAAGGGCATGTACCTTGGTTGCAGTTTGTCCCCAGCCCTGGTTGAGGTTGTGTGGGAGGCAACCAGTCGATGTGTCTCTCTCTCTTCCTCCCTCCCTCCTTCCTGCTCTAGCTGAAGATAAATGGAAAAATATCCTCGGGTGAGGATTAAAAAAGAAAAGAAAAGGCATTGCAAATCTTCCAGTAGTTTCTGAAAAAATTACTGCTAAGGAAATCATTTTGAGGGCCCGTACGTGGTCTGAAAGTGACTTCATTTTCCCTACTATTTGACAACCAGCTGTGTATAGGGTTCTACAGAGGAAGTGTGCCCGCTCAGCAGGTTGATACCGTCGCGCCGGGGCTGCTGTGGAGAGGCCGGTGGTCCCTTTGTGTTTCCTCACTGGACGCTGTGCCCACGTTTTGACATTTCTTGGGATGGATGCTCGCTTCGTGCTCCTTTCAAACTAGAAATTCATGATTTTAAATCTCAGAAATTGCTTCTTTAATCTCTTCTGTTTTCTCTGTTTCTTTACTAATTTTTTTTTAATTCAGAGACTGGTCCTCTGATCTTTTTTTTTTTTTTAATCCTCACCCAAGGACATTTTTCCATTTTTTGTTCAGATAGAGTGGGAGGGAGAGAGAGGGAGAGGGAGAGAGAGAGAGAGAGAGAAACATCGACGTGAAAGGGACACATCGAGTGGCCGCCACCCACACAACCCAACCAGGGCCGGGGACAAATTGCAACCGGGGTACGTGCCCTTAGCGGGAACCGAACCTGGGTCTCTCTGGACCGCAGGTCGATGCTCTAACCACTGAGCCAAACCAGCCAGGGCTGATCTTATTTCTTTACTTATTTTTTTTATTTTCCTTCCTGTTCTTCTTTCAGGTATTTTTCCTCAACTTCTAACCCTCCTGTGGTTTTTCACTTATCTTATGATTTTTAACTTCCAAGAGCTCCTCTGATCTCTGAACGCTCCTTTCCTCATAACAGCACGTTCTTACTTTATAGGCGCAGTGTCCTGTTATCTCAGCGATCTTGTGAGCATCTCCTAACGTTCTGTGCCCCCTTTATAAGCTCCATCTCCTTCTGCCCTTCACACTAGAGGCAACCCTCAAGTGTGTGGTGGTACTTGGCTGGCTGCTGGGGTTTCAGGGGAAGCAGAGAAGCTGGCGGGGAGCTCATCAGTGCAGGTTGCCCTTCCCCAGAGAGCGACCAGACTGCTCCCTTTTGTTGGGGAATCTTTGGTGTCAGGGTCTTTAGTTCTCTTCTGTGAGGTTACTAGAGTCCCCAGATGGGGCACCTCTGGCCTACTGCCCAGAGGTACAGGCCTGGTGCCAGCAACATGCCTCAGAGTGGGACAGAGGAGCTGGGCTGGGTGACCCCTGTTTCCAGTGCACTGCCCCTGCCGGGCAGAGGGCCCCAGTATGGACACTAAACCTCGGGCTGGGCGCGGGGGGCATTCACTCAGCTGTGTCAGGAGCCTGGGATAGAGACCTGAATAACTGCTTCTTAAACAGACTCCCCACCAGTGCTCCTGTTTTTATAACCCTCCTGCACCCTCACTTCATTAAGTGCCTGAGGCCACTAACGCCCCAACCTCCTGGGGATTCCACATGCTGTAAGACCAGTTGCTGCCCAGTATTTGCACGCCACCTGAGCATCTGTTCTTCTCCCAGCTCAGCCAGTTAGCAGTCATCTGTCAGCTTTCCAGCTTCCGAAGTCTAGCTGCTGGGGTCCTATTCCTGTTTCCTTTGTCCTCGGGGGAGTATGCCTTCTTTAGAGACCTCTTTGCTGTTCAGCAGGCCTCAGAAGTGTGACCCTTCCAGGCTGCGCCTTTAGTGGACTCCCCAGCACGTCCTTCGTTGTGGGATGATCACCTGGCAGCTTCCTCTCCACAGCTTCCAACTCCAGCTGTCTTCTTTTCAAAAGTCTCTTCCTAGGTTCTCACCAGGTGGTGTCAACCATCTTTGCTCACCCCACTAGTGTATTTGGACTCTTTGGGCCTCAAATCAACAGTTACGTTGTAAAAGAAATAAATAGCACTGGAAGAAAGAAATGTCAGAAAAAGGGAGTTGATTACTCTCAGAAAGAGGTTTACACACCAGGAAGGGCTCAACGGGTGAGGCTAAGTTGTTTCAAAAAAGTCTAAAATAGGGACCCAGCTGTGTATCATTTACTCTAGACCCATTTTGGGAACTTGACAGTGATAATTTTGTCCATTTAACATTAAATTTAATACGTGTTTTTATTAGTAATCCTTAGCGATTACAGTTCTGTTCATTGTTTTAGCAAAGCAGCAATACTCAGCACAGTAGCATAACTCTTTCAAGCATGGTCTTTGACTAAGCTTAGTCAGCGGACACTCAGCAAGAGAGATCAGAGGGTACATACTGGGACCAGAGCTAAATGATGCAAATTCAGAAGTAAATTTGTATCTGACCCTAAAATGTATTATAGTAGAAACACCTGATGTTTTAGAAATTCACTTTAAGCAAAATAGTTGCGCCACTTTGGGAGCACCCGTCCAACACAGGCGCTGTGGGCCTTCACCCGCTGTCTCTGCCATCTGTCTGGGCGTGGTCCTCGGCACGTGCTAGGGGAGTAAGACCCACTGCTTTCAGAAACAATAGCCCACTAATGCAGGGAGTCTCGGGGCATAGATCAGAGTCTGGGGACCCAGACGGGAGACAGTGGCTGAGGTCATGTACAGTTTGAGCAGCGCTCAAGAAATGACACTGAATCATGGAGCTAAGACAGAGAGCAGAGCCTTTTTCTTCTCCTTTTACTTTAAGCAAACTTTTAAATTTTTTTTCTTTTTTTAATTTTTTTTCCTTTTTTTAATTTTTTTTCCATTATTGATTTTAGAGAGAGGGAGAGTGAGATAGAAACATCGATGAGAGAGAACATAGATTGGCCACCTCCACCATGCCCCCCACTGGGGATCGGGCCCAGAACCCAGGCATGTGCCCTGACCAGGAATCGAACCAGCGACCTCTTAGTGCGTGGGTCGATGCTCAACCAGTGAGCCACACCAGCCAAGCTAAGCAAACTCTTAAATTGAAGTATACCATTCATTCAGAAAAGCATGGGGGTCACAAGCAGGCAGCTCACTGAATTTTCACAGTGTAACCAGCACTAAATGGAGAAGCAGCATTAGCAGCACCCGGAAGCCATCCTCAGGCCTCCAGTCACTGCCTCTGCTCCCCGAAGGGAGGCCTTCACGCTGACCCCTCCACCATGGGTCATTCTGCCTGTAGTCAAACTTTATATAATCCGGTAGTACATAGTCTTTTTTATCTGGATTTTTCCAGAGCATCAGCTTTTGCTTTGTTTCCGTGTTCTGATCCACATTAAATTGAGAACAAGAAAAGAGACGAGGCTTGTCTGTTTCAGTCTCATTCAGACTCTGGACAGTCTTCCAGCAGGGACACTGGTTAAATGTCTGAATTCCACGAGCCACCTAGCTACCAGCAGAGTTGGGTGAGATTAGGTGTGAAATGTCAACACAGCCAGGGTTACAGGATCACTGGCTGCAGTGTACTTCAAAGCAAGGTCGTTCTTCCCACAGCTAACGGATAGATCATGCTTGCTCAACATGGATTTCGTCGCAAGCGCTGAGCCTGGGTACTGCGGGAATGAGGCGAGGGAAACACACCCGCGTGTCTAAGCTGGGCAGACGTTCTATCTTGTATGAGGTCTGTTCGTGGGCTATTGAATACACAGCTCGGACTCATTTAAATGAATTCCAGATAGGTTCAGAGTTTGAAACACAAATCTATGTGCAAATCACCGTGGCCCAGGTGCCCTACCTGATGGAGCAGTTCTGAGAGGAGGGTGCCGTTGGCGTTCTTCCACTGGGACCCGGTTTACAGTATGTTATGTGAAAACTCTAAATGGAATGTTTGTATTTGCCTTGGCAAGCAAGCTGGACTGTGGATATTCTTTGCTTGCGAACTGATCCAGCCGGGCCAATAATGGGAGTAGAGCTTTAGGATACAAGACTAATCTGCCTAATTAGGCTTCTCTGTGAAATGCTAGGCTCCCTGGGTGGCTGGTGAGGCTCCTGGAAGAGGAGTCTTCAGTAGAGTTTAGAACACCCCAGGATACACTTTACATTTGTTTTTCTTATGCTCATTTTAAAACAATAAATATGCAAACATTTTGGGCAATAGTACAGCTGTTTCCCATGAATCCCTCCTCAGTTTATGACCTGAAAGCCCATAGTTTTTCCTGCCTTTATCTATTTTCGTGATGTCTCTCTGAGTTGCTGTTGCTCTCCTTGGTGGCCTGGTTGTTTAAGCTCTGTAAGTATTCATGTCAGCCTGTGCGGAATGTAAAAACACACTCAGAGCAGAACTCAGTGTAGCTGAGTAAAGGATCTTGTCGCGTGTGGTCTCTGCATCAGCGCTGTTTGAGAACTCTTTTGTATAGTAACTGTCATGAACACGGTGTACATTGTGTCACTGTGTTTGTCCCATAGTGTTTTTGGTGGGAATCCATAGCACTAGAACGACAGATAATAGTAGAACACATCTGCCCTGGCCAGTGTGGCACAGTGGTTAGAGTGCCAGCCCTTGCACCAAAGGGTCTCAGGTTCAATTCCTAGTCAAGGGCACATACCTAGGTTGCATGTTCAATCCTTGGCCCCAGTCAGGGTGCGTGCAAGGGGCAACCAATCAATGTGTCTCTCTCACATTGATGTTTCTCTCTCTCTTCCTCCCTTCTTTGCCCGTCCTCCTTTCCACTATCTCTAAAAAAAAAAAAAATCAGTGGAAAAAATCCTCAGGTGAGGATTAACCAAAATAAATAAAATACAATCAGGTCCACACTTGCTGTGTGTCCATGGGCAAGCTCCTTCACCTCTCTGAGTCTCAAAGTTCTTCAACTGGAAAAGGACAGTGACAATGAGGCCTGCCCCATAACAGCACTGACGTTCAGGAAATGTTAGCTATTGTTAATATATTCACCCTTCACCCTATTTCCTGTGTTCAGGATGAAGTTGATTGTGCAGTGAAGATACTGCAATCACTGAAAATGAGCTACAGAGCTGCCGTTGGGGAAGACTACAAGGCCGACTGCCCTCCAGGGAGCCTGGCACCGGGTGGTGACAGTGGCCCAGGCACCACGGAGGCTGAAGAGGATTTTGTGGACCCGTGGACAGTACAGACAAGCAGTGCAAAAGGCATTGACTATGACAAGCTCATTGGTACGTCCTGGGAAAAGCCCAGACTTCTAGAAGTGATTCCCTTGATGTTTTTACTGTCAAATTAATCCTAAATCCAGTTGAGCTTCAATGCCGAGGAAAAAAGTCTATCCTAAAATCTTATGGTGGTGCATTCTATTCCTAAAGGAGTTTTAAATAAAGTGATAAAGCTTGTTGCAAAATAATAATCTACAGTAGATAGCTCAGTAAGACCTTTTTCCTTTTTAGAACAATTCAGAACTTGGGAAGGGTCTGTTGAAACGGACACCTTGGCTGTCACTGAGATTACTTTCACTTGGTGGTGACATTAGTCACGGGTATCGCAGTTTTTTCTCCAGCGATGCCGAGTGCAGAGCCAACGGGCTGGGAGTCAGCTTGAGCAGGGTAGCTGCTCCCAGGTGCCTGTTGTCGCTGTCCGGCCTCCTGCAGGGGCTTCCTGCAGGGGAAAGTCCTCACTCTGAGATCACTGCTAACCGTCAGAGCAGAAACAGAACCAAAATGTTCCTACCCAAGTCAAAGCCATTTTCCATGATTTTTAAGTGTAGACTATCAATAAGGGAAAATTTGCTTGAGGACAGGTGCTAATTCAGTTCAATAATTAAAGAATGTTAAAAAGCATAGTCGCCAGTGTATATAAATTATACCTAAATGAGCAATAAGCAGCCGTGTGTGTGCGTGCGCGTGCGCACCTGTGTGCCAAGAGTTGCTAGCTGGACTGCATTCCGGATATGTTTCCCATCAGAATGCAATCCCACGCAAAACAGCATTTTATTCTGTAATTGGTTTTCTGTTTTGCTGGTTGTGATCTCAGCTGTTAGTGTTCGTACAAAAGACACTGGACTTCGTGTTGGGGAAAGGGCTGGGCAGAGGCCCCCAGGGGGTGGGGCTGGGGTCACTGAGTCTGATGGGTCTTCCCTCCGTTTCAGTAATCCCTAGTCACCAGACCTCCCGCCACCTGAGACAGTCACCTCTTCTTTTTCCCAATCTTTTCCTAGTTCGGTTCGGAAGCAGTAAGATTGACAAAGAGCTGATAAACCGAATAGAGAAAGCCACGGGCCAGAGGCCACACCGCTTCCTGCGCAGAGGCATCTTCTTCTCACACAGGTGGGGCTTTGCACCCGGACTTCTCACCCCTCCTCTTCCATTCAAAACGGCTGCACGCCGTTCCCCCAGCTGCCTGGTGCTGTGCAGAGTGGAAGGCCGTTGTCAGATACTTGGGCCCCTCTCCCACCAGTGCCTGGCTGTGGAATCAGGCCCATCCCTTCACCTTCTGGCCCTTAATGCATTAATCAAACTGTCACTTCACAAGACGAAGGTTACATTCATAGCAGATAAGATTCGTGCCAGGTTATGTCCAAGTTTAATGTTTCCTACTTGATAAGCAGTAGGCTTTCTGGAATTACATACCCGCTTCCTCCTGTCGTGCTGGCCTGCTCGTAAATAATATGAAAAGAGAAACTAACAGAGCATACATGCAATGGACTGTCCCCACCTTAGACCGTAAAGGCCATGGAGATAACATCAGAAAATGAGCAGGTTCCAAAAGGGTTTCTGCATCTCCCATCCCACACATCACCTGTGGTTGGGGGCAACCCATTTTCAAGGCTATGTTCATGGAATTGATGGCCAAGACAGGGTTGTTCTGTTCTGCTCCCACTTCATGGTTATGGGAGAGCACCCACAGGTCACAAAGCAGCTCAATGCCCCCCACTTCAAGTTCTCTGTGCAGAGAACTCCAGGCCTCGCTCAGCCTGTCTTCTAGGCAGAATGTAATCAAAACTTTTTCCTTAATCAGATCTAGTTCACCTTGTTCAAGTGTACAGTTCAGTGGTTTTTAGTATATTCACAGGGGTGTGCAATCATCACCACTATCTCATTCCAGAACATGTTCTCCACCCCAAAAAGAAACCTGCCCACTGGCAATCAGTCCCCACCCCAACCACTGGCAACCACTGACTCCTTTCTGTGTGTGGATGTGCCTGTCCTGCACAGCATGAGGCCATCTGTGTCTGGCTCTGTCACGGAGCATGTTTTCAAGGCCCATCCAGGTTGTAGCCTCTGTCAGTGGATGGGGGCATAGGACTTGAAGCTTTTGGCCATTCTCGAATTTGAGAATGCCCCGCTACCTAATTTTATCATCTATAAAATAGGGGATTAGATGAGATACAGCACCCACTGTCCAGCTGCAGGCAGACGGTGGGTACCGACTGGGCACCCTCCCAGCTGAGTGAATCCCTGCCCAGAACCATCCTCACAAGCTGCACTCGGGATGGGAGCCTCGTCGGCTGCACAGCTCCACGCTGGGGCCCCGTGCACAGCAACTGCCCCACGCAGCGAGTGCTCAGACTCCCTACCCAGGGGCTGCTGCCTGCTCTTCTCCTCTGTGAGCCTGTAAGAGTTTCATTGGGTTAGTTGTGAGAGCCAAAGAAGGACTTTTTTCCTCCAAAATTGTGTGTATTGTTTCCTTCTTTCAAAAGTAGTGTGTGTTCATTCCGTGGAATGAAAACTAAGCACAGAACATCTGAATGTCCATAGTCCTGTGAGCCCAGGATGAGTAGCCAGCCCTGGCTCGGGTGGGATCTTGCTGTGTGCTGTCTACCATCCCCCAAAAAAGGTGGCTGTTTCTCTTTTATTTTTGGAAACTTTGCCCGGAAAAAAGGAACAATCATACTCGAGGGGGGTGGCTTCACACCCTGCCACACGTAGCAGTCACTGGGGGAGCCTTTTAAAAAGACAGAGTCCCAGCTGTCACCCAGCCCCTGGGAGTCAGCATCTCTGAAGACGGGGCTCAGGCAGGTGCCATGTGGAAGCCGCAGTCATGTGATTCTGAGGCACAGCCAGGAAGGAGGACCCCTTATGTGCCTTGTCTGTGGACCCCAGTCCTGGGGAGGGCACTGATTCCAGAATGACTCCCAGATAAAGGCACCTGGTCCCACCTGGCTGAGGGAGCCCACTCAGCTCACCTGCCGGGCACGTTTTCCACCCCCCCACACTCACCCCACCCCCAACCCAAGTCAGGACCCTTTGGGACCTTGTGATTTCCTGTTTGGCTTTCAGGAGCCTCAGGGCTGTGACTCTGTGAATCAAAGGGACTACACAGTGTTGGCCCGCTATCACCCAGGACAATGTATAAAGCAGGTGCTGTATTAGCACTGATATTTGGGAAAATTCCGAAAGAGTTCCAATGGCTGCCCAACTGTATCCATCTTTTAAACTCATTACTCTGAACCTCCATGTGTTCTGCTTTGAAAACAATTACAGGAAAAACCATGTCAGTAGACTTTCCTGTCATTTTAATCACATAAGCACCAAGGGTAACAAACTAGTTCTTACCCGTGTTTGTCTCAACATTTCCAAGTGAGCATTGGCACCTTGATTTTTTTCCCCAGAAAAAAAATCATACTGTTCTCTCTCCTCCGTCCTTTAGAGACATGAACCAAGTCCTTGATGCCTATGAGAACAAGAAGCCGTTTTATCTGTATACGGGCAGGGGCCCCTCTTCCGAAGCCATGCATGTGGGTCACCTCATCCCGTTCATTTTCACAAAGTAAGTGCTGAGTCTGTGACTTCCCTCGCTGTTATTAGCAAGTCGGCAACGGTAGTTATGACCAAGTTGAGAGCTGACAAGACAGTACGAGTTCATGTTTGCTGAACAACCAGAGTAGGAGAGAACCAGCACCTTTGTGGCCTCTGTTCACTTCTTTGTTCCTGGTGTCACTTCGGGACATGGGTGACAGAGACAGCCAGCCAGACCTGTTTCACATCTTCTCTGCCTTCTTCATGTGACCACAGGCCAGTTACTGCTCCGAACCTTGGTTTGCACACCTGCAAGATGGGAATGAGACCTGCCTTGTAAAATTATCGAAAGGCTACAAATAAAGTATCTAAAACAACAAGCCTAGAGCTGACGTGCAGGACGCTCTCAGTTGATAAATGGCAGTAGCCCTTTTCATTGTCAATAATCAAATTCACAGCATGCTAAGGTCACGTGATTTGTGGAAAAGGAGGTTTTGACACAAGTTGTCAGTAGGAACCGTGTTTTCAGATGTCAAACGGCGTTCCTCTGCAGGGGTAAAGGAGATGCCAGCCTCTTCCCCTGTGTCTCTTAGGTGGCTGCAGGACGTGTTTAATGTGCCCTTGGTCATCCAGATGACAGACGACGAGAAGTACCTGTGGAAGGACCTGACCCTGGACCAGGCCTATGGCTACGCCGTGGAGAATGCCAAGGACATCATTGCCTGTGGCTTTGACATCAACAAGACCTTCATATTCTCTGACCTCGACTACATGGGGTAAGGAGAAAACTCATGGCTGCCTTTTCAAGGAGCAGATGCAGTCCTCAGGTGCGCAGGACATGGCTGAGTTGGAGACATCCGAGATGGCCTCGGGCCCCGTGACTGTTTCCTTCTTCCATTCAGTGTTGTGGCCTGGTGTGCTGGTTAGGACTTTCATCCTCAGCTTGCGACAGAAGGACTTCTGTGTGGTAGTTTCCCTCCAAGGATAGTCAGTCTTGCCAAGTTAGGGTATCTTCGTCTGTCCTCACAGAAAAAGACTGTTAGAAAAGCGTTGGATTTTCAACGTCACTTTTCTCACGGTCAAAGAGCAGTGAGCTGTCGTCCGAGAAACGTGATCTCAGAAGGAAGGAAGGTGGCCCTGGGCTCAAGTCCTGCTGTGTCTGTTTAGCGGTGGTGAGTCAGCAGTCTGTGCATGGAGGAGGGTTAGGTGAGACCTTCAGTGTCGCTATCATCATCATCTCCGTGGCACTTTATTTTCCTTCTCGCCCCCCTTTCCTTAAAGGGACCATGAGTTCTGCAGCCTCTTCCCACCCGCTGTGGCCTCTCAGGGCCTCTGGTTCCCACCAGCCTGCGCCCGCTAAAACGCAGGTCTGGTCAGGTCCCCCCCTCAGGCATTTTCTGGTGCACCCTCATCCTCAGGATCAAGTTCTCACTTCCCTCTTAGCACACAGCCCTTTGTGACCGGCCCCCTGTTCCTGTCTGGCACCGCTGACCGTTCCATTTCCTCCCCTTTGTCCGTGTTCCTGTTTGCCCCAAGTCCCCTCCCCTCCTGTCTCGGGGGAGTCCTCCGCTCTCTTCCAAACCCATGATCAAGCATCGCCTTGTCCTGGGAATTGTCCCCCCCGAAGGCAGATGTAGCACCCTGCTCTGGTTCCCAGCACCCAGGCCCCTCCTCAGCCACCTCTGGTATGTGATGCAGTGGGGGGGCCCTCGCCCGCGAGGTCAGTGAAACAGCCACAGATGCTCTCAGTGCAGGCAGCCCCGTAGGCCCTGCGAACATGGTAGGGGCAGCACGAATGGGACGTTAGTGCGGCCGAAGTAAACCCTCTGATAGGTCCATGGTGATGTCTGCGTGATGGGCGCACAGGGCGGGGATGCATGTTGGACAGTCCATGTGCAAGACCAGCTCAAGACCCACCTGCTCTCAGCACACTGCAAGGACGTGAGTCTGTGCCACGGGTCCCCGAGCTGTCCCCATGGTACCCGCACTCTCCATCCTCCACCTGCGCTCACTAAGAGCTCCCTTCTTCTTTACAAACATGGAGTGGAGATGACAACTCAGGTCATGTGTTAACCGAAGTATCTCTTAGTATCTCTTCTTAGGAAGGGGTGTCTGTAACGTTGAATCTAAAGTTAGGAGAGACACCCGGCCAGTGTGGCTCAGTGGTTGAGCGTCAACCTACGCACCATGAGGTCACCAGTTTGATTCCTGGTCAGGGCACATGCTGTGGGCCCGATCCCCAGTGGGGGGCATGCAGGAGGCAGCCAATCGATGTTGTCTCTCGTCGATGTTTCTATCTCTCTCTCCCTCTCCCTTCCTCTCTCTCTGAAATAAGTAAAGAAAAAAAAATTTTTTAATAATAAAGTTCGGAGAGACTTCTAAAAGTTAAGTCCTGTTTGCAAATGTCTTATTCCCTTTAAGAGTTTCTTCTAAACAAGCACTTTCCCTTTTACTTTATTTTTCTAATTTAATTTAAAATCTGGTCTTTGATTTAACAGAGCGCTCTTTCTGGTCTTCAGGAGCTGGAAGCACAGCAGAGCCAGGTCCCACTACTTTGGGATGGGAAAGTAGCTCGTTGTGTTGATTTCCACTGTGTCCACCTTGCCAGTCCACTTCACAGGTGCAGGCATGTCTGGTTCGCCTGCTGCCAGTGCCTTTGCCCACAGTGACTCCTGGGTACCTCCCTCCACAGTCTGTCCCCAGCCCATGTTGCCCCCTCAGGTTTCACCACCTGCTGCTGTGCCCTCCACAGAAGGTCCTGTGGGCCTGGAGTCTGATTCTGATTGTCTTTGCAGGTCGAGCACAGGCTTCTACAAGAATGTGGTGAAGATTCAGAAGCACGTGACTTTCAACCAAGTGAAAGGCATTTTTGGCTTCACGGACAGTGACAGCATCGGTAAGGAGTCGCTGCTACTTGCGCCCAGCCCCAGCCCATCAGAAGGGAGCAATGGCCCAGAACCGAGCTGTTGCTGAGATGGTAGCATCTGCACTTTATCTCTTTAAACAGTAAGCCCAGAGGGGGTTTCCTCGGAACACAGGAGCCAACGTGATGCCTCTGCTGCTGTCCTGGGCATGTGCCACCCTACCTCAGGGTGCCAGTCCGCCCTCTCCTCAGTCCATTTTAAGGCTGAGAAGAAAGCAGGAAGAGCACAGATAACTTCGGAGTTCCTATGCCTGCTCATGGTGTACACCTGCGTGTACCTGAGAACCTGAGCACCCGAGTGCCATGACGGGGCACTGGCTGGGCTCCACTCATCAGCTGTGATACAAAGGCCCATACCCTTTGACCCAGAAATCCCAGCTCTGCAGATCTCAGCAGATAACAGTAGCAGTAGTATTACTACACCCAAAATATTGAAAACAGTGTCATGTACCAAGATAGCATAATTAGCAATAATTAGACCATGAAGAATAAATATCCTGAATGCCCAGTGGGCAGAAAACGGTTCAATATAGATGATTCATTTACAGGATAGAACATACATATATTTTTTTTTTCCCAATCCTCACCCGAGGATACATTTTTCCATCTATCTTCAGAGAGAGTAGAAGGGACGGAGAGAAGGAGAGTGAGAGAGAAACATCGATGTGAGAGATACACATTGAAGGTTGCCTCCAGCACGACCCCGACCAGAGCTGGGACCAAACCACAACCGAGGTACGTGCCCTTGAATGGAATTGAACCTGCGACTCTTTGGTCCAGGGCCAGCGCTGTAACCACTGAGCCAAACTGGCCAGGGCCAGGATGGAACATATTTAACAACAATCTGGGTAAATGCTACAAAGTGGAAAAGGCAAGAGGGAAGAACAGTGTAATCACAACTGAAGTGAGTAGAAATGGAGAAAACAGATATAAAGAGACACAAATTGGGTCTATAGATTTTTTTCTTCTACTTTTCTGTAGTTTTCAGATTTTCTTTTTTTTTTAAATCCTCACCCGAGGACATTGTTCCATGTTTTGTTCAGATAGAGTGGGAGGGAGAGTGAGAGAGAAACATTGACGTGAAAGGGACACATCGAGTGGTTGCCACCCGCATGACCTGGGCCGGGGACAAACTGCAACCGAGGTACGTGCCCTTAGCAGGAACCGAACCCGGGTCTCTCTGGACCACAGACGCTCTAACCACTGAGCCAAACTGGCCAGGGCAGTTTCCAGATTTTCTTGAGATGAGATTACTTTTCTACCTAAAGGGGAGAAAGCCTAATTTCGTTCATCCCTTTCACTGGGGTACCGACCAGCCAGGAGCTGGTCCCGTGTGTAAGATGCTCTGTCCTCTCAGGGAAGATCAGCTTTCCTGCCATCCAGGCCGCTCCGTCCTTCAGCAACTCATTCCCTCACATCTTCGGGGACAAGACAGACATCCAGTGCCTCATCCCCTGTGCCATCGACCAGGTCGGGAGGCAGCGGGGCGTGGGTCTGGGCATGCGGGAGGTTCCGGGCACTCCAGCGGGAAGGGCTGCTGGGAGGGGTGTCAGGTGGGGAACTGCTTCCGGAGGCTGATGAAGCTGGGGGGTTGCTGCGAAGGCCTCTCACTTCTCATTCTCAGGCTAAAAGCGGGTGCATTTCTTCCAGCTGTGCTCAGGCCTCTCTCTCCTCTAGGACCCTTACTTCAGGATGACAAGAGACGTCGCCCCCAGGATCGGCTACCCTAAACCAGCCCTGCTCCACTCCACCTTCTTCCCCGCCCTGCAGGGCGCCCAGACCAAAATGAGCGCCAGCGACCCCAACTCCTCCATCTTCCTCATCGACACAGCCAAGCAGATCAAGACCAAGGTGAGCACTGCAAGATGGAGGGGCCGCCTGTGTGCGCAGAGCCACGTGTGTGGGTGGAGGCACGGGCACGCCGCACGGGCACGCGCAGTATCATCGCTCTGTCTGTCGGCGCCCCTGCCCCAGGCTGCTGAAATCCAAGACCGATACTGTGCGTCTGCTAACTCGAGGACGCCTGGCCCGGTTTCCAAATATCGGGAAATTTATCGTGTGTCTTTCCATTTAGACCAAACTTTGGATTTCTTTTCTCATCAGCACTCTGTTCGGGAAGCAAAGTCATGGCGGCTTTCTTCCACGCTACATTTAAACAGTAGAAAAAATTAGTATATTTCTAAACAGGAGCTATATCCCAGAGCCAGGGCCCGCCCTTTGTTCATGCTTTCTCGTTTTAATTCTCACTGGGAAAGCGTGGGGCGCTCCTTTTAAAGGTGGAAGAACGAGCCCTGGCCGCTTTGGCTCAGCGGTTGGAGCATCGGCTGGTGGACCAGAGGGACCCGGGTTCGGTTGCCGCTAAGGGCACGTACCTCGGTTGCAGTTTGTCCCCGGCCGGTTGGGGTCGTGTGGGCGGCAACCACTGGATGTGTCTCTCTCACATCGATTTTCTCTCTCTCCCCCTCCCACTCTATCTGAAGATAGATACAAAAATGTCCTCAGGTGAAAATTAAAAAATAAATAAAATTTTTTAAAAAGCTGGAGGAATGAGGCCCAGAGGTGGTGACAACTTGGCCAAGTTTCACCTCCAGAGACCAGCAGAGGGCTCCTGGCCTGTGAGCAGCCACCACCAGTGCAAGGCTGGGGGGCTGGTTTTGTCCCAGAGTTCTCACTGAGACCCAGAACTGATGAGTGGCCTTGGACAGGACAGCCTGCCCTGCCCTGCAGGCCGCGGGCTCCCTGTCCATATTTGTCGAGCCCCAGAGGACCGAGGGCCTGGAGTTAGCTTGCGTGACCATATTTTTGAGCCGCACTTCGTTGCTCAGCACTGAGCTGCCAGCACGTGACAGTCCCCTCGCTGCCCCACAGAGCTGGGGGCCTTTTACTGGGAACCAGGTGTGTGTTTGCCGGCAGAGGAACGGAAACTGTGTTGGAAGCACGTCGTGCAACCATCTGAGTCACTGCTGGGCCCCTGGCCCCTCTGGAAAGTCCAGGCAGTTTCAGGATGACAACAGGGAAACCCTTAATGTTGAAACTTTCTTCCAGAAAACAGCCACTGCCGACTGTCCCCCATCAGCCGAAAGCTGTGTGTGCAGACAGCTTTTATTTCCCTCTCCCTCTGGCCGGAACCTCCAGAGCACAGATGCAGAGCGGGAGGGAAGCCTCTGTTCCCTCCAGCAGGGATGGCATTCTGTTTTGTTTTTGAGATACTGTTTGAAGTAAGTCATTTTTGGTTCTGGGGCATTTTTTAAAATATATATTTTATTAATTTTTTTAGAAAGAGAAGAAGGGAGAGAAAGATAGAAACATCGATGTGAGAGCGAAACATTGATTGGCTGCCTCCTACACACCCCTCACTGGGGATCGAGCCTGCAACCGGGGCGTGTGCCCTGACCTGGAATCAAACCAGGACCTCTCAGTCCATGGGACGACGCTCCATCACTGAGCCACACCAGCCAGGGAATTTTGCATTGGCTCAGGCTCCCTTGAAGACCCAGAGGGAGGGTGAGCAGTAAGTGTGAGGTCAGGAGCCACACAGGTTGCAGAGGCCACCAGGGTCATGAGCAGCCTGTGGGGCAGGACAGGGACAGAACAGGGCAGGCTAGGCCTTTGTTCTCAATCTCCATGCCCAGCTTCAACCCCAGAGTCAGACTCTACAGCAGCTGAGAGAGGACATCTGTCCCTTCTCACGAGTAACAGCAGTAGCCATGTGGGGATGCAGCGGCTTGGCCATGCGCTTACCTGTGCAATCTCATTGAGTCCTAACATCTGCCTGGGGCGCTGTGTCCATTTTGTAGGCGAGAAAATCAAGTCTCAGAGGGATCGAGCAGCCGTCCCACGTTCACCCCACTGGGCAGCAGTGGGGCCAGGACTGTAACCCAGGTCCACCACTGTCTGACCCTGCCTCTTACCTGCTGCTTGAGACTGACCTTGGCTGTCTGGGTGTCCACAGACAAGGCGGGGCTGTCCTTCAGAGAGTAGGCCACCGCATGCCTCCCATGGGCTGTCGCGGGGACCAGAACTGGGAATGACCTCCTGTGGGACAAATGTTGGTGACACAGTTTACCATCTGTCCACACACTCATTTCTGGTCACAGGGCCCCTTAGCGCTCGCTCCCAGAGCTGCCAGGGCCCGTCCCCACCCTGGCCTCAGCCTTCTGCTGGCCCACTTGACCTTCCATTAGACTGGAGCAGCAGAAACCCGCTGGCGCCTGGTGGGGGATCCAGTCCCTCGTGCCTCAGCCCAGACGGCCCTGCCTGGCTAGGTTCCTGGTTCCTATCGCACGGAGTCATGTTCAGTGCATCTCACTTGCCTCCATCGTGTTGGATCCTGGTGGAGGCATTCCAGTCCCCTCCGACTGCTCTCTGCCCTAACCCAAACCTGTCCTCCTGTTGGTTCCCTGTAAGTCAAGCCCCAGCATCACTGAGGACCGGCCAGGTCCAGCACCAGACCACGGATTCCACTGCCGGCAGCCTAGTGTCCCCAGAAGAGGCAGTTTGGCTCCACCCCTCAGTGCCTGTGCATCAGTTCCGGACACTCTGGGCCTCATTTTCTTCACCTGTAAAGTGCAGAAAGCAATTCCGAGGCCATTGGGTCCTTGGGGATTCAGTGTGCCACCGTTGGGTATGAGCAGCCGGTCCAGGTGGCCGGCAGCACCTGTGCACCTTGGAGAACATGCTGCAGATGTCCTTCCTCATCCTCGGATCAGGGCAGGGAACTGCCCCAGGGCCCTTGCAGCCTGAGAGACTCTGCCCCAGACTTGCTGGCCCAGAGCCTTTTCCCTGAGGCCCAGCACTGACCTGGCCTAGCCGGGGGTCTGTGCCAGGAAGAAGTCTGAGGACAGGGGCCTCCACAAGACCACAGGCGCCGGCAGACAGTGCACCTGTCGAGAGCACATAGACCTCAGGAGACCCAGTACTTGTGTTTTCTCTTCTTCCTGCCTATTTTGTGTTCCCCACAGTTTCTGCAGTTTGTGTACATTGGTTGTATTCTATGCTTGCTCCTTTCTTGCTAAGGACAGGGAAGGTGGCCTCCCAGCAAGCCCGCCTCCACAGCTCCCCTCCTGGGGCCGCGCCTGAGCATCTCCGGCAGCTCCCTCCTTTCCCGAGCAGAGCCTGGAAGCCCGCCTGCAGAAGGGGTTCCCTTGCCGCGCTCGTGCCTGGCGTTCACCTGCTGCTTCTGGAGGGTCCCAGCTAGCGGCCTGTCCCGGGGCCTCTGGGGAGGCCAGCTGAGCATCTCCACTGAGAGTTTACTGACTCTACCCACCCGCTCCCCACTGTGAAAGTTAGGGTGACATTTGTACATAGCAGACTTCTCGAACACTCTTTGAAAGAACACTGAAAGAACTTTATCTGTTCTTTTTGGCTTTTCTTCTCAGCCAGGGCCCGGATTTCTTCAGGATTCTCCTCAATGATTCCTGAAATGCATTTGTTGGTTTGTGAGTCTGTCTGTCGTCTGCTCCAGAACGTGCCGTGTTGGGTGGGCCCGCCTGCAGGCCTTCCACTCCGTGCTGTTCGTGGCTCAGCCTTTCCTCCTGAGCCATCTTCCATGGGGGACACACGGTGGGGAAGGCAGCAGCAGGCTGGGGGTGCTGTCCTGGCCTCCAGTGGCAGCAGCCACCCTCCCTGTCGTCTCTGTTACTCTGAAGATGGTTTGTGTTTGTCCCCTTTCTGAAGCTTGTCACCTGAGAACACTTCAGGACATTTCCCCCGAGTTTCAGCTTTCCTGACTCTATTCTTGTCTCTGGAGAGTGGGCAGTGCAAATCAGATCTGCCTTCTCTGCTCCTTCCCTGCAGTGAGCCCCACTGTGGCTGTTTGTGGGGCTCCTCCCCCAAGCAGTTGGGCTCCCGCAGGGCAGCCAGAACCCGCTAGCGTTCGTGTCCCTTGCTGGTGCAGGTCAACAAGCATGCCTTTTCCGGAGGGAGAGACACCATTGAGGAGCACAGGCAGTTCGGGGGCAACTGCGACGTGGACGTGTCCTTCATGTACCTGACCTTCTTCCTCGAGGATGATGACAAGCTGGAGCAGATCAGGAAGGTGAGACAGAGGCCCGGGGTCCCTGGTTGGCCCCAGCTCGCTCACGTGGGACCTGGAGGGCTCTGGCAGCTGGCTGGGGCGGTCAGAGCTTCCTCGGAGCCTCGGCCCAGGAGGTTAAAATCGAATAGATTGATCGATTCCATAGGTTGATTGAATAGGTAACTATGTGCCAAGAAACCTCATGAAAAGGTATTCACAAAAGAGAAATGCAAGCTATGTATCCAGTAGCCACACAAAAGGGTCCGTGTTACTCTCATCAAAGCAGTTTAAATTAAGACATGTTCCAAGTTAAAACAGTTCCCCCACCGAGTTAGCAGGGTTTGTGTTGCTGTTGTGTTTGCAATGATTGTATAGCAGATGCTTCCGGGCTCCCGGAGTGGGGAGAGTCCAGTGTGCCCGGCCCAGCCTGGCTATGGTATGGAGAACCCAGAGAGGTTGACAGCTTTGCTTCAGGTTTTGCAACTCAATCCTTTCCAAGGAAGCAGTGCTGATTAAGACAGAGCTTCCCATGCAGACATTCCGAATGGTAACAAGGTCAGGACCGCCGCAGGGCAGAGGCCGTGTCCCTGGGAACTGCCAGGGTGAGTGCTGCAGGCGGGAGGGTTCTAGACCCGGACGTGGCCTCCCGGGGCCCCACCTGAGGTCCGCAGGAACATCGAGGAGGTCGCAGGATGTTAGCCAGGCCTCCCCGGCTGGCCTTGCGGGAAGCGTCCTCCTCCCCTTGCCACGCTCGGTTCGGGTGCTGCGTTCGCTTGTTCGTGGAGTGCCTACTACTTTCGCAGCAGAACGTGAAAAAGATCCAGCAGATTTTATAGAAGCCAGTAAGGCGAAGGAGCTGTTAGTTCTGTGTGCTTGGAGTTCGCTCCGGCTGCAGGGCGAGGAAGGCCGCTCCCTGGATCCTTCCTGCGACCGGCAGGTCAGGGCTCTCGCGGGGCCAGGTCCCCACTCAGAAAGAAGGCGGAGGTGCGTGGGCGGGCGAGCGGTTCTCACGGTCTCCGCCGCTCCCGCAGGATTACAGCAGTGGGGCCATGCTCACCGGGGAGCTCAAGAAGGAGCTCATCGAGGTCCTGCAGCCCCTGATCGCGGAGCACCAGGCCCGGCGCAAGGAGGTCACCGACGAGATCGTCAAAGAGTTCATGACGCCCCGGAAGCTGTCCTACGACCATCAGTAACGCCCCCTCTGCCTGCACATGGAAACACGTAACCCACCGCTACTCCCAGCCGATCAAAGCACTGCCACACTTAGGCTCTGTCGCAGCGACCCTGGTCCCGGTGCCCGTCAGCCTGTGTGCCCGTCAGCACTGTTCTTCCCGTGGTGCCATCCTTCCTGCCCCCGGTGGGCCAAACCCTGTGAGCGGCCTGGGCACCGGCGCAGGGGTGCGGTCGGACACTGGACTGGCATGGCGCCTGCACGGGCAGCGGCCTGCCCACGACCCGGCTGGCGGACGCGGCCGGAGAGCGCACGGTGGCCCGAGGCCCTTGGCGGGGGCCGGCCGGAGCAGTTCAATCTGGCGCCCCGTGTAGTTTGGGGAGGCGGAAGAATATCCCGGAAAGCCCTCTGCGGAGGCGCAGGGTCTGCTCCCGAGAGCTCTACTCTACTGTCGCTTGTTGGCGTAAATAAATGTCCTTTTCCCGCCTGTGTGGCTGTGTGTCTGGGCTTCAGGAGGGCAGAGGCCTCGCTTCAGCCCCGTGGCTGTGCTGCGGCGCTGCCGACCGCCGCGGTCACGGCTGGGGGTGCTGGCGAGCGGCCGGGGGGCAGCCCCGTGGCACTGCGGCTGCTCCAGGGAGTCGTAGCCGCCCCTTGGCCAGCTTAGCAGCCTCCCTGGTCTGGACTCACCCCACTCCCCGGGGGACGGCGCGGGCAGAGGCCCTCGTGTCTGCCCTGGGAGCGGCTGTGCCGTGACCGGAGCCCTACCAGCCGGGCTTGCCCACGTGAAGCCCGGACGACATGGACCTGGGCTCTCCGCCCATCCTCATTTTGTAAGTGGGAAATGAGACTTAGAAGAGGTAGAGTAACTTGTCCAAGGCCACACAGTGAGTTTGTGACTGAGCAGGCCTGTCCTGACTCTTCCTTTTGCTAACAGTTCCCCGAGAGATCCCAGTTTTAGGCTAGGCGTGATGGCCGGCCCAGCAGGTGTTCGGGGTGACACGGGTCGGTCCCCAGCCCCTGGAGGGCGAGGATTGCTTCCAGAGGACTTCTGACTGTTGCCGTCCCCCAGTCTGGTGGGGAGACCAGCTGGGTGAGGGGACAGGTGGCCGCGTGGCCGGAGGGAGCCCGTGTGCAGGACAGCTTCACAGCCATCGCAGGAAGGGGGCTCCCGGCACAGGCTCTGGCGCCTGCAGACCAGCGCTCCCTGAGTGAGGAGTTATGCCGATTACCCTTCCAGAGGCCAGGGCATGGCTGAGGGGTCCCTGGGTGACCGCCCTTCATCTCCTGTCTGAAATCTCGGGGGCACAGTTAGTGGGAAGACCCAGCTCTGCCCCACAGGTTCTGGGCCTGCCCCTCCCATCGCCATCCCTTCATCCCCATTTCTAAAGAGAGGCTAGGTCCAAAGGGTCTTGCCACCTGGGGGTTGTAGAGCAAGGACCTTCCTGCAAAGCAATTTCCCCAACGTGGACGGCCAGCTGCTCAGTGACCGGTGGTCCCCACCCTCCCCCAGCCAGGAACTCTTTCCAGGATGGAGCAAGAGGGCACGCTAGTGGCCTTCTTACCAGAAGTGGACACGGGGTTGGGGTTTTGATGAATTATTGAGACCCTTTGTGAGCTGACAGCCCTCTCCCAGCACCTGGCCAGAGCGTCAGCCTCTCCGGTCTAAGCTGGGAGAACCAGGAGGCGCTCCGGGGCTTCACTCACTCACTCACTCGTTCCAACCCCCGAGCTCCTGCCAGTGCCAGGCCCCGAGCTAGATACATTCCACATCAGACACCTGCTGCCCTTGGGCAGCTCGGGTCTCGGGCGTGGGGAGACGCACAGGGACCTGTGGGAGCTGAGCAAAAGACACCCCAAAGCAGCCTGGTGGTCAGGCAGGGAGAGCTTCCTGGAGGAACGATGCCTGAGAGGAGGAGCTAGCCAGGAAGAGGAGGGGCAGGGCGTTCCGGCAAGGAGCACAGATGTCCGCAAAGACTTGGTCGGTACGACGAGCAGGCCAGGATGGGACAGTCCCCCCCCCCCCCCCCATGTTCTGGGAATAAGAAAGTATTCGGCCAGAACACTGGAGGGTCTTCTGTCCAAGGACATGGTCAAGGCCAGTGTCTGTGAGGGAGTGAGTGTCGTCGAGGCAGCTTTGACTGACCACCAGAGGGCTGCTGCAGTGGGGACCCAGCAGGCCTGGCCGCACCTGCCAGCCCTGGCCCCTCGTGGCCCTCTGCCCCCACTGGAAGGCATGTGGTGCCACGGAGAGCACTGGGGCCCGGGAGTCTCCCACCCTTCCTGCTGCATGGCCTTGAGCAGACCCAGCTCCCTGTCTGAGCTGTCTCCTCACCTGGCATCAGCTGTCTGTGATAAGCTGTGTGAGGTGCCTGGCACCCAGCAGTGTTTAGGAGACACCGACCCCTCCCTCCTTGAAGGCGGGTACACTGGTCACCAGACCACAGAGCAGCCCCACTGAGCACGTCCACAGAAACCGGAAACGTTTAATTGGTAACAGTCCCTCTCCAAGTCTACCAGCGGGAAGGGTGTGTGGGTGTGTGTGCGCATGCGTGCGTGCGCGCCCGTGTGCATGACCCACCCTCACACCAGCTGTCTGTGGCGACAGCAAGTGCCTCTCTGAGCAGCCCGGTGCCGGAACCCAGCAGCTGTGCCTGGATCCCGTCTTGGGGGGCAGTTGAGCTGCATCTAAGGGACAGTGGGTGAAGAGTACCCTAAATAGCAGCGGAGAGCTGAGGAGGGGTGGGGCCAGGAGGACAGCTGAGTAGATGGTGGCAGGGACAGGGGTGCTCTGAAGACGAGTGGTGGGGAGAGGCCACAGGGAGGCTGGCATGAACAACTGACCACATGCACCCACAACTCCATGTGACCGATGTCTTCATCCGAGAGGCCGCTCCTCCCTGGCTCGTGTGGCCCTCAAGCCAGCCCCGGGCTGGTAACAGATGGGCCCCTGGGCTTTCTCTGGTCCGTGGCTGGGCAGTCCAAGCCCAGGCCCCAGCTGACTGTCTTTGGGGTGGCTCCTAGCTGTCCTAGGTGACCACCCAGTGGGGACACTCCCCTTCACCTCCTCCAGTTGCTATGACCTCCAGAAGCTGCCGGTGGGCTGGCGCCTGGGGCAGTGGGCCCAGCTACTTCAGCAGACCCCGCGAGAGCCTCAGCGCAGCTTCGTAGGTGACGAAAACCACCATGTTGACAGGGAAGGCGCGGCAGCAGTTGAGTGTCAGCCCCTTGAAAAGGACACGCGGCCCTTCCTCCCGCACACTGGTCACCACACAGTGGAGGAGGCCCCTGTAGCGCTGCTGGCCCTGCCCGTCCGCCTGCAGGCGGGACTTGATCACGTCCATGGGGGTGGCCACGGCCCAGGCCAGGACCCCTGCGCAGCCGCCGGCCATCAGCACACCCAAGACATCTGCAGGGGGACCATGAGTGAGGGCCGTGAGGGAAGGGACTGAGGCCCGAGAGGGGTGTGGGTGGGAGTCCTGGGCTCACTCCACCAACGTGACTCACCCAAGGCCACACAGAGCAGGTCTGTCCTGACCTCAGTGTCCAGCACACTGAGATTCCCACCCTGGGAGGCACTGGGGTACCAATGTGCCGCATGACTCGATTCCTACTGACTGCGCCTGTACCCCCCGCCGCCGCTCACCTGGCTGACTGTGACCCGCAGGGGTGAGCCACTCGCTGAGGATGGAGTAGGACAGGAAGTAGGTGGCGAAGGAGTGGCCCTCCCGGAAGAGCAGGGCCGAGCTGCCCTTGTAGAGGCCCCGCAGCCCCTCCTCACGGGCCACCGTGGCCAGGCAGTGCAGCGGCCCACGGTACTTGGGCCCCGGCACCGGGCGCGCAGGGGCTGCAGGACACACGGGAGGCGCCGCTGAGGGCCACGAGGCCGAGGATCTCCGCCTCTGCTGGGTCTGCGTCTGCAGGCGGACCTTGGCCACCTCGGTTGGCGAGGTCAGGAACACCTGGAGCGGAGAGACAGCAGTGAGGAGGCACCGGCACACCCTGGACCTGGCGTCCCGTCAGCCTCGTGTTCCCCATGGTGACATCCCCGTGAAGCTTCAGGCTGGCCCATGGCCCTGGTCGAGCGGCGCTGAAAGCCACCCTGCCCACGCAGGCCACGGCCGGCACTTGCTTCGGCTCCACCCTCGTCCCAGCACACAGCAGGCCAGACACACGCAGGTGTCGGGTAAATGGTTCATGACAGCATTTAATCACATAATTAATATGTTAATGGCATATTCATGTATTATTGAATTAATGTAAGAATAATTAAACCATGTATTTAATAATATTAATATGTAACAGGATACTACTACTAATGTTGTTCGCCCTTTCATGGGGGCTCATAACTGTCAGACTTTGTGCTGGAAGCTTTTCACATGACCTCACTTAATCCTCACCATGATGCCTTTACTGATGAAGAGTCAGAAGTTCAGAGAGGCTCCCTAGCATCCTCAAGGTCCCTCAGCTAATGAGAGTCAGCTGAGTCCTCCCGCATCGTCCCCCAGCCTCCTTTCAGTCTGTGCCCCCACTGAGCTTCAGTTTCCCTGCCTTCTGGGCTTGGTGACCTCTCAGGCCCTCCCAGCCCCTCCCCACCCCTGCGGGACCCCTCACCCGCCCACTCACACGGACGAGGCCAGAGGTGAAACCCGAGAGTGTGATGTCGGCCCTGGCGGGCTTGGCGTCGGCACTGCCATACCGGAGCCGGCAGATGTGTGTGAGGCAGTGGCGGTAGGTGCCAAAAGACAGGGACGAGACCAGGGACACCGAGCAGACAGGCAGCGAGAGGCCCCTGTAGAAGCCCCGCACCTGGAGGGTACATGGACGGGGCCCAGGGCCCAAGTCAGCCCAGAGGTCCGGCCGGGAGGGTCCTGGCCCTGGTCTCATCCCGGCAGGCCCTCCCTGGCCACGGGACTTCGGGCGGTCACTTACTGCCTAGGGCCTCGGTATCCTGGACTGTAAACTGGGGATCACAGTACTTAACTTGAGAGATGGGGCCGCTGGCCAGCTTTTTGACGGTGAGAACAGTGAACACGCTTGATGGTTGCTGTTTCCTTTCGCTTGTCCCTGGCCGGCACCCAGCCCCAACCTCACTGTGGTAAATGTCCCTGGATGCCTCCTCTGGACAGATCTCTGACCTGGACACTGGGGAACTGACACTCCACCCGGCACTGCTAGTGCCCTGCCTGAAGGGCACAGAAATGCGAACACACGGGCCCCCCCCAGACCTTCCAAGGCCCTAGACACCACCTCTAGACCCTCTCCTGGAGGAAAGGCCACATCCTGAACACCCCCTACGTGCTGGACACCCAGCCCTGGGCTGCAGAGGAGCCCCGGAGGCTGGTACGATTATTTCCATTTGGAAGATGAGAGAACCGAGGCTCAGCGAGGGGCTCAACATCGCCTGGTTGTCGGCGAGGGGCAGGCCTGCGGCCCTGACACCCCCTGCCCGGCACCCCGGCCCCAGCCCTACCCTCTCTCGGAGATACGTGTCCCGGACGCAGTGCCAGATGCCCGTGTACTTGGGCTCTGTCTGGATCCTGACCTGTGGGAGAAGCAGGCTTCAGGAAGGGGTGGCTCCAGGCCTGGGGCAAGGTCAGCAGGCCCCGGGGAGAGGGCGAGCCAGCTCCTCATTCCCATGGCCATGCAGACAGTGGGCAGAGCAGGACAGTGAACCCCGTTTAAGAGGGGAAACCTGAGGCTCAGGCTGAAAAAGAGGGACAGGTAGTCCTGAGGATGGTGGGGAGGGCCGAGTTGGATCAGCATCCTAGAAAGCTCTGCTGGCTGTGGGTGGGGTGCAGAAGACGCTCAGGGTGGCCTGAGCACGGGCAGGAGCCCTGCCGTGGGCGGCAGGGTCTGTCACTGTACCTTCACTGTGTCCAGGGGGTAGCCCACAGCAACACCGCAGACGCCTGCAAGGAAACCAGAGACCGGGGGTGAGGACAGCGGCGGGAAGGGGGGAGTAGACCCACCGAGGTCCACACTGTGTCTCGTGAACGGGAGCGCCCGTGCTGCAAATGAATCGGAGGCTCAGAGGGCTGAAGCGACTCCCGACAAGCTGTGACTGGGTCTCCTTCCCACAGGTGCCTCGTTCTGAAAGCCAAGGGCATCCTCAGCCTGCCCTCCGGTGTCACGCGTCAAGAGAACTCCTGGTCCGACACTTGCTGGGCCCCGTCCCCAGGCCAGGCGGCGCTGGCCCTCAAGCCTCGGGCAGTGAGGGGTTTGTCCAGAGGGTGCGGGTGACATAGCCGGAGCAAAGGCTGGGGTGTGGGCGAGCCCTGTCACCCCAGGGCTCTGTGAAGGGCTGCCTGGAACCACAAGTTGGTGTGGGACAGAGAAGGACGCCAGGCTTCCCGGACCAGGCCCTCTGCCCCTGCAAAGAGGGCTGGGTGCCACTGTCCCATTTCTGTCTCCTTTCCTGACACCAAGGACTCAATATCCAAACCCCAGCACTGCCATGGCGAAGCCAGAGAGCGAGCAGGCAAGTCTCTGGGGCTGGGGGTGAGGGCCATCTGAGGACAATAACGCATGTGGGGGCTGGGTCCTATTTACTCTGTATCCCAGGACTCAGTTAATATGCATGAATGAAAGAACAAAGCGAATGAATGAATAGAAAGAAGCGAAAGGGTAGAATGACCCTCCTGGACCCTCACATATACCTCAGCAAACTCCTACTCATCCATCAAAGCCCTGCCACAGCATCACCTCCTCTCTGGAGCCCTTGCTCTCCCTGTACTCCGGGCTGCCTCTGTGCCAGGAAACATATTGGTCAGAGCCCTGTCACGTGGCTCTGCTGCTGTCCCACAGCAAACTGTCTCTGCCTCAGAACCAGAATCCCCCAAGGACAAGGCCCCCATCTGGTCCTTGCCACCCAGGACCCAGCAGAGAGCAGAGGCCCTTCCGCCAGGCCTTCCATAGGCTCTGAAGGAAACGGAGGATTTAGGAGCCCTGCCTGGTTGTGTGATCTTCCGCAAGTCAAGCCCCTTCTCTGAGCCTCCCCCTTAGGGGCTCATATCCAGGGCAACAGCTGGCCTCAGGCCCTGCACACGGTAGGACCGCAGCGAGCCTCTTGATGGGGCCAGGGCCCTGGCCTTCCCTGCTGGCCCCGCCCTCCCACACTGTTCCCAGAAGTATGGACAAGGAGCCCAGTGCCGTTCCCCATGATGAGCAAAGCCAGGAGAGTCTGGCCCCAAACAGCCTCCAGAGCGCGCAGGGTGGCAGCTGGGAGGAGCCCCATCTGAGCCTGCTTCCCGATGGCCAGTCACCCGTCTGGGTCAGTCTTTCGCAACGAGCCCTTTCCGCAGAAGTGAAAACAGTCCGTGGGCCCAGCCAGGCCAGGATTGCACACAGCTGGTGGGCAGGCGGAGCTGGGGCTCGGCTGGGCCCTCCCTCCCCTGCGACAGCGTCAGGCAGTGTTGTCCTCACTGTCCACCCTCTCCTGGAGCCCCTTGTCCTTCCCCCGACGCAGCCGGCCCTCTCTGTGCCGATCACTCCCAGCCTCCACTTGGCCCGGCAGAACCCCCCCTGTGCCCCCCGAGCACCCCCACCCTGGAACTGCCCCCAGCCCTCCGAGCTGAGCTGCCCGGGCCAGTGCAGGCTCACCCCCTCCGCCTGCACCCAGCCCCGCGCTGCCGTCCGAGTCCCCAGGAACCAGCTCTGTCGCCCCAACATCCAGCACCCACGGTCCACACCGAAACCCGGCCACTTCAGGAGTGACGCCGTGTCTGCCCGAGGCCACCCCCAGGGCAGAGCCGCAGTCCCCCACGAGGCCCTGCTGTCACCTCCGATGGCTCCAGCAACAAAATCCATGGACAAGGTGGGTGGTGGGGAAGGCTCTTGGGTGCCCCTGCCTGAGAGCAGTCTGATGCCACCACCAGGTCAGCTCCTCTCAGCCTTAAATACCTGCGGCGGGGGCAGGGGACAGGAAGCAGGAGCCTGCTGACCAGTGGCCCAGAAGGCAGAGGTCGTGCCGGAAGCGGGCAGGTCGATGCCCACCTGGACTCCCTTTGTCCCGGTGCCCTCAGGGCGCAGCTGTGGGGAAGTGGAGAGGCCGTGGGAGCCATCAGGTTCTCAGGACAGAGGGCCCCGTCTGCTCCGCCCGCCCGCGGGCCTGGGCCCCAGACCATGTCCACACACCTCCTGGGGAGGTCCGGGGACGGGGCTGTGATGTCCCTGCCCCTGCAAGCCCCGGCTCAGGCCTCATTCATGCCTGTGACCTCCCTGGCTTCCCCGGGATTGTTCCTGCACGGGAAACGCTCAAAGCTCCCTCTCTTGTTCAGTCAACACTCACTGTCCAAGCTGAGGCTGCCGTGAGGCAAGTACGGCCCAGGCCCAGGCCTCGAGGGGCCCAGCTGGCACAGGGGAGGCTGGCCAGCGCCCTCCCAGGAGCAGCAGGAGCACCAGTCACGGCCCACTGTCTGTTCCGCGCCCTTCGCGCCACCCTGGTCCCACGCTGTCCCTGCCATGTCCACATCAGTCTCCTCCACTCCGAGTCCCCAGCGCCCAGCACTGACCCAGCACTAAGCAGAGCTCGCTGAGCGAGGGGACCAAGCCCTGCGGGGCCCACTGCTGGGGCTGGCAGTTTGGCCTCTAACCAAACCAGGACACTCATGAAGGGGAGCCGTCTGCTTGTCACTCGAAATCACTGCAGCCCTGCAAGGACCCTGAGGCTCAGGGAGGCCATGAACTTGCCCAAGGTGTCAGGACCAGGCAGGACAGAGGAGGGTCCAGGCAATCCTGCAGGGTGGTCCTCAGGACAGGGCCATGTGTCTTAATGGGTGGACCTGCAGGCCAGCCCTGAACAGGCTGAGAGCTGACAGAGGGCAGCCTCCCTGGCACCTGCCCAGCCGTTTGGGACTGGAGGACACGAGGTACCAGTGTCAACTGCCACGGTAGAAGGCAAAGGGCAGGATGTGGCCCATCCAAGGCCAGTCCTGATGGCTGTCCTGGACTTTAGAGAGAAGCAGTTCAGTCTGGTTAGAAGCCAAGCTCCCTGTGTGCCAACCCCAACTCTGTCACTCATGCCAGCTCTGACACTTTGGGCAAGCCCCTGGATCGTTCTGTGCCTCTGTTTCTACATCCATGGAATGAGGATAGTACCTATCTCACATCTGTGACCACTCCGGGCAAGCTCTGGACATGTCCCTGTGGAAGTGGCCAGCCAAATGGAATGGCTGCATTAACAGGAGCATAGGTTCTAGAAGAAAGGAGGTGACAGGCCTGTTATGAGCAGGGCAAATACAGTTAGGGCTTGGGTTCAATGGCAGATGCTACACTTGGAAGACCAGTACCTTGTATGATTAGGGAGCTTGAAGAATGTTGTCTAACTGAAAGAACAGGAAACTGTTTATTCCCGTATTTCCTGCAGAGTGTCTATTGTGGTAAGTGGCAACTGAGTCAGGAACCCAGAAAGTGCCCTGAATGCCTTTCTCCCTGCACCCACATCCAGTGGGGCCTAAGGTCTAATCTCTGAAGTTCATGTTCAGATTCACTTTCTTTTTTTTTATCCTCACCTGAGGACATTTTTCCATTTTTTGTTCAGGTAGAGTGGGAGGGAGAGAGAGGAAAAGAAAGCGAGAGAGAGAGAAACATCAACGTGAAAGGACACATTGAGTGGCTGCCACCTGCACAACCCAACCAGGGCCGGGGACAAACTGCAACCGAGGTACATGCCCTTAGCGGGAACCGAACCCGGGTCTCTCCGAACTGCAGGCCGATGCTCTAACCACGGAGCCAAACTGGCCAGGGCCAGATTCACTTACGCTATCCATCGGCACAGCTCCTGACTGTATCATCTCCCTCCAGACAACAGTCTGGTCCCTGTGCCCTCCCCTCATGCAACAAACACTGCCTGCCCAGTGTGTACCACGTTCTAGACACCAGGGCACAGCAACAAACACAGACAAATGTCTCTGCACCGTGGATCTTCTGTCCTAGGTAGGGAGGCAGACACCAACAAAATAAATAAAAATACAGTCTGCCAGGTGGTGATAAGGGTCAAGGAGAGACACAGAGGGAGGGGTCAGGGAGCACTGGTGGGGGGGCGGTGTTAGAAAAAGCAGTCCAAGAAGGTGACAGTTGAGACAAGCATGTTTTCTGTCACTGGGCCAAGTTTCACCTGCGCTGTGTCTCTCAAACAAACATGCTCAAACTTCACCCTTCTCCACGGCAGAAACGGAGAACATGCCACCTCTCTGTTGAGGCTGCTTTGTGCAGGTCTGAACGTCTCCCCACCCGCCGGGAGCTTCTGGCAGGCCGAATCATGCCAGATTTCTCTCTGAGCCCCAGCACCCGGCACAGGGCCGGCACCCTGGGGGGGCTCAGTGAATAACTGCATGGAAACAAGTCAGTGAATGGGTGGGTGGGTAGATGGATGGATGAGTGGGTGGGTGGATGGATCAATGGATAGGTGGATGGAAGGATGAATAGATGGATTGGATGGATGGATGGATGGATGGATGGATGGATGGATGGATGGATGGATGGATGAGAGAGTGGGTCAGTAGATGGATCAATGGGTGGATGAATGAATGCTTGGATGGATGATATATGGAGAGACGGATGGACGTAGGGCAGAGTCAGCTGCTTATACTTGGCTTGACCTGACTCGGTGGATGCAGAGGCCCTCAGGTAGCTGGGCAGGCTGGGGTCTTAGGTGGGGAGAGCCTCCATGGTTTGGGGGGTACTCAAGTTGGGTTTGGCTCCTGGCTCCACCTCACCCAGCCCTGTGATCTGGAGTCAGTGGTGTGACCTCTCTGAGTCTTGCATGGATGGTGGGAGACAGAGCCCGTGGTTGCCCACCGGGCCCATTTCTCCTAATGGGGAATGTTGTTGTTATTAGCAGTTAGGCCAGCTTTAGGCCTCTTCTACCTACCCCAGCCTACCATGGTCAGCCCCACCCAGCCGGGGCAGGGAGGGCCAAGCCGTCCTCTAGGGGGAGACAGACATCACCCAAACAACGCAAGCCCCGCTCACAGAGGACTCCGGGAAGTGGGGCACTGGCCCCGCTGGGCTCGGGGCTGTGCGGTCCTGGGTGCCACGGAGGAACTTGACATATCCTAAATAAATTTTCACCGTTTATAACAAATGGAATAACTACAAGTTATTTTCAAAATCCACACAGCAGAGATGCAGCGACACGGGGAGAGCCCCCCAGCCCAGGCCGGGCCCCACCTTCCCGCAGGAGGCAGGCAAACACGGATTTATTTTTTCCTATCTTTTGGCGATTTGAGTCTTTTCCTTATCAGTGCTCTGGAATGCCTGGCCACGGTGGCACCTGTGGCCCACTTCTCAGTACTGGGGTGTGGCCTCGGTGGACAGGGGGCTGGGCCAGGCCCTCTCTCCGCCTGACGCGCTGGGGCCCGCCTGCTGTGTCTGGAATCAGCCTCTGGGCTCAGTACATTCAGTCCTCTGCTTTCTCCTGACCTCTCCCTCCCGGGCTCACTTCCTCTCGGTGCCAAGGGCAACTCACCTACCCACTCAACCCAGGGTTCAGGTGAGGGCACACTGCCCTCCTCTGGCCACTGGCCTCCGGTGCTGCCTCACATGGACAGCTTGGTCTTCTAGCCATTCTCCGCTCATGCAATAGTGGGAGCCCCTCGAGCACAGCGGGGCCACTCCCACCAGACCCCAGCACCCGCCCGGCTGCCCAGAGGGTGGGCTCCACCAGGCACGCGATGTGCCGATGCGCCAACCACTCGCATCAGGTCCCCGACCCTTGGCTGAGCTCCTTCCATGTGGCCCTCCTGTGCCGACCAGGCCCCACCAAGCTGGGGACCACTCCTGTGGTCCTCTGGCCAGTCAGGGACTCCCCCAGGCAGTTCTATTTTTAGACTAGAGGCATTTGCCAGGTGACTATTTATATCGCTGCCCATCTTGGGTTTCTGGTCATCTCATCTGGTGGAGCTGGCCTCCCACCGGCCTCCTGGCCCGCTCAGTCCGGGTGGCTTCAGAGTGGCCCAGAGCACTCGGGAGGGACAGGGAGCGATGGGACAGCGATGGGACAGCACAGAGCGATGGGACAGGGAGCCCTCGGCACACTGAACGTTTCCCACTGAACGAAGAAGCAAGAAACCCACCCGGCGTGGCGGCAGCTTCGGGGTTGACTGAATTCAAAGGATAGAAGTGAATTCCTCAAAGTCTGCCCAATGAGAGACCTTTGGGTGCCAGGGACTGGGGGCTGCGGGGCCAGCAGGACAGTGGCTGACTGTCCCCAGGTGGTCCCAGGCTCTCTATCCCTGAGGCCCAGGGCAGACTTGCTTGGTGGGGAGGCCAGGTCACTCCAGGGTGGACTGGACAGAGGCCAGAGAGACATCCACACAGCAAACATTTATTCGCTGGGAGAAAGACACATCGGGTAGAGCCAGCTCTGGTCAAGGCCAGGCCACAAGCCAGTAGCTGGTCCCTGACCCTCCCCACAGAGCCACCTACCTGCTCACTTCGGATGTCTTCAGCAGCCATTAGGGGAACTTCTGGGTCCCAGGATTCTCCCTCACTGGTCCAGACAGTCAAATAGGCCCTTAGGAGAACCTTCAGTACCTCAGCTGATTATGTAAATTAACTCTTTTTTTAAACTGAGTTGATGTTGGTTTATAACATTATAGAAATCAATTCTTATACTCCATTTCCTGCAAAGGTGTCGAAAGCCAAAGGCAGAGAGCCAGACTGTCCCCTGCACAGCCTAAGTCCCCAGGTCCACACAGCTGGTCCTCAGCCCACCCCAGCCCCTGTAGCACCCGGAGTTCCAGCCTAGCCCCCCGCCCCAGGTTCAAACAGCCTCCTTCACGGAATTCAACAGATTACAGGGTGGGAAGAACAGAGGCAACTTCCTTTTCCTGCTGGTGTTTCTCATTTTTCCACACCAAACCTGTCTTGTGTAGGAAATTATGAAAGCTGTACAAAGTAAAAGCTCCACCCCAGACTTTCCGGTAACCTGGCCTGACCCTGCTCCATCCCCACTCGCAGTGTTCCTACAGCTCAGGCCTTGGACCCCTCCTGCGCTTCAAAGGCTGGGGTCAGAGAAGAGCCTGCAGGGGGCCCTCTGCTGGAGGAGGGGTGTCTGGGGCCCTTGAGAACTTGAGGAATTTGCAAAGCACATTCTGGGCTGTAATTTAATCCTCAGGAAATGAAACAGAGCAGACAGACCCCCACTGACAACCAAGCAGACGTGAAGACATGGGTTCAGGAGCTCAGTCACTGCCCCACCTGAGTGAAGGATTCTCCCCCTAACTGCCAGGGAGCCCCTGGAGGTCAGCAAGGAGTGTCTGCCTGGTTCCCAAGCCTGGCACAGGGCAGCGCTCGGGCACTGCCCCACCTGAGTGAACGATCCCCAACAGCAGCAACATACAACTCATTAGGAAGAGGTTTTAAGTGAAATGAGGTTTTACAGTTTAGTAACCCAGCAGTGCACCGAGGTAACCCCATCTTCTCCCAGTGCCTGTCTTCACCTCTTCCTCCCTGTCCCAAGGGCCACCCCTACATTGCTCCCCACAGACTGGACCTTTGTCCCCACACCCAACAAACCCCAGCCTGAACACTGGCTCCCTCCAAAGCAGCCCCACCTCTAAGCTGGAAGCCTGTAGGGTCCCACCACTCCCTGTACCAGATCCCTCACCTGGATCCCTGCAGGGATTGCCCAGATGGGGCCGCCCTCCAAGAAACTTCCTGAAGCTCAACTATTGAGTGCTTACTGTGTCCCAGGCTGCTGGGCCCCTTCCCAAGGGTCCCCAGGGAGTCAGGACTGTCTGATGGTGGGGCAGAGGTGTAATGGCCACCGTAACCAGGAATAGTTTCAGACCGAAAAACAAAGCAGGCAATTCCATAGAATACAACAGAATTTACTGTAGGATGACTGACTACGGGCAGATGGGGTCAGAGCAGAACAGACCCTCGGCAATTCTGCACACATTCTCCGCTGCCGGGCCCGTCACAGTGCTGTTTTGACAGTATAACCCAGCTACTGACTGACCAGACCAAGGGACAAAGAATGCAGTTGTCCCAGGGGCCGTACCTCCTCTGGGTGGTCCTGTGACCTATGACTGCTTATAATTGACACGATTACCAGTTTGATATTTATCTCAGTTGTCATGCTATCTGGGCTGTTACTAACACAACTCTTAATGGCTACATTTTAAGGCGCACAGATAATCATCAACTACAAGGCTTTGATATAGTTGCTAAGGACAGTGAGGTTGGTCACAGGTCACAGCATGACACTGAAGTCGGGACGCAGACGTGGAGTTGGTTTTGTTCACATCTACATCTGTACAAGGGCTCATATGCAACCTGCCCCAAGCAAGACATTAAAGGCACATGTATTGTTCGACCGTCCTGTAATAATTTTTTAAAAAATTTTTTTCCTTTATTGATTTTAGAGAGAGAGGAAGTGAGAGGGAGAAAGAGCTAGAAACATCAATGAGAGAACATCGATTGGCCTCCTCCTGCATGCTTTCCACTGGGGATTGGGCCCACAATGCGGGCATGTGTACTGATCCGGAATAGAACTGGTGACCTCTTGGTGCATGGGTCAACACTCAACCACTGAGCATTGCATGAGCCACCCCGGCCGGACCGCACCATAATAATTTGACTTACTGCCCTGCCAAGGTACGAGACTTCCTCTCGAAGCTCGAAATACAGGGATGGATGGTGCAGGCTATTGTGCTTTACATCCTGAGGTCTGGGCAACTCAGGGACACCCCTTCCAAGAGGCAAGTCACCTGGATATAGTTGTTCAGTTTGTTTATTTATTTATTTATTTATTTTTTATCCTCACCCGAGGACATTTTTTGTTCAGGTAGAGCGGGAGGGAGAGAGAGGAAGAGAGAGAGAGAGAAACATCGATGCGAAAGGGACACATCGAGTGGCTGCCACCCACACGACCAACCAGGGCCAGGGACAAACTGCAACCGAGGCACATGCCCTTAGCGGGAACCGAACCCGGGTCTCTCGGGCCGCAGGCCGACGCTCTAACCGCTGAGCCAAACGGGCCAGGGCTATTTTTTATTTTAAAAAAACTTTTTTCCCTTTATTGATTTTTTAGAGAGAGAAAGTGAGAAGGAGAGAGAGAAACATCGATAAGAGAACATCAACTGGCCACCTCCTGCAAGTCCCCCACTGGGGAACAGGCCCACAACCTGGGCATGTGTCCTGACTGGGAATTGAACTGGCGACCTTTTGGTGCATGGGTCAACGCTCAACCACTGAGCCACACCGGCTGGGCTAGTTGTCTAGTTTAATTGTCATGGTCTCAGAGGCCTCCACCCACGTGAGCATCCCCATGGTCAATTCCTGCCCTCTTTCGGGTCTGGGCTTCTTCTGAGGCCCACATCCTACTGCTTTTCTGGCTTATTGGACAGTTGCACCCTCTGCCCACCTGCTGCCTTGAGGCATGGAGCTGGGTCAGAGAGGCTGGCGATATTCAAACCCAGGCCTCCAGACCCCTAATTCAGAGCCCACCAGCAACCACGAGCACTGGACTAGGAGTCAGCAGACCTGGGTTTGGGTCTCTTCTTAACGATTGTTCGATCTAGATTCTAAGAAGAATGAAAGGAAAGCACAGTAATGGCTGGCTTCCCAGTGGCCTCTGTATCGCTCTGCTTCATTGCGTACATATGCCTGACATATATCCCCTAATACCAAATACCATCTGTAAAGCCTGTCTATGAGACATGGCCGTTGTAATCACCATCCTGATACCAGAACCGGTGAAATGAGAGTGAAAGAACTGTTTGCTCTGCAACCCGGAAACTCCCAGGAGTGATCCTGACCGCAGGCCGGTGAAGAAGGAAGCTGGCCCAGGCTTGACTGTTATTTGACTCTCACGGTGAAGGAGAGAGCTCCCAGCCAAGCTCAGCCCCAACCGGGCAGCCCGCACTTCATAAGCCACTGGGGACGGAGTGTGGGGGGAAGCCTGACCGGGAGAGTCTCCAGGGAGTGGTCCCAATCTCAGGGACTCTCAGGGTGGGGGTGGGGGTTGCCAAATCGGCTCCCAAGACCCAAGCTACCCGCAGTGACCCGAGCCAAGCGTGCTCCCAGAGCCTCGGTCCCTCTCCCGCCCCCTCTGGCCACTTGGCGACCTGGCCGCGGCGAGGTACGCGCTGTGATCCGGCCTGTTGGGCCCCGCGGCTCTCCGCCCTGTCCAGGAACCTCCCCTGCTCTACAGCCTTCCGAGGCTCCCGCAGTCCGCGGGCAAGTGCAGGACTCCCAGGGCCTGGCCGCGCCCCTCACCCGAGTCCCTCTCTCTTTTCCAGGTTCGCATTCCGCCCGAAACGCCGGAGCGCTCAGACCCTGCGACGCCGCGCGCTGGGCCGGACGACCCGAAGCCAGGACCCCGCACGGGGAGGCGCAGGCGGGAGGGCGAAGGCTCTCCGAGCGGACAACTACTTGTGTCCGAGCCTGCAGGCCTGGCGGGTCCTGGCGCTCCACATCTGTTACCGCGGCAGTGCCCCCCTTATACAGGCGAGGACGCCGAGGTTCGGCGGCGGAGGTGGGATCTGAACCAAGGTTCCCGGTTCCTGAGCCCAGTCCGGAGCGAGCGCACCCCCCGTCCCTCCCAGCTGACAAGCAGCGCACACACCGGGAGGTTCCGGGCCCCAGAGGCCCCGGTCAGCGTGTGGGCTCCCGGGCAGAGCCCCACGGTCCGGCCTCGGCGAACACTCGGGGTCTCTCCTGCCCCGAGCGGCGCGCGGGCGGGCGCACGAAGCACACTCTTTGTCTCAATCGCCTCTGCGCCTCCCCCGCCCGTCCGCCCGCCACGTCCCCCGCGCCCCCCCGTCCCGGGCACGCCCAGCCAATGAGGCGCGGCGGCGGCGCGCAGGCCTCGGGGCGTTGTCCGCGCCTCGCCCACCCATTGGCTGCGCTCTGCGCCCCGCCCGAGCCCACCGGCCGGCCCGAGGGGCGGGGCGCGCGGCCCGAAGTAAGGGACCGCGGCGGCGGGCGGACAGCTCCGAGGGCTCGCGGGCCGGCCAGCGGGGAACCTTGGTCGGGCGAGGAGTCCTGCGCTGAGCCGCTGCCGCCGCCGCCGCCGCCACCCCCCGCCCCTGGTTTGACCGGGGCTCCGCGCCAGGAGGCGGCGGCCAGACCGAGCCTCAGCCCAGCGAGCCGGGAGGCTGCCGACGGCGACCACCCCTGTATAGAGCCGGAGAAGGAGAAGGACACCGAGGAAGGACGGCAATGGCGCTCGACTTCCTGGCTGGATGCGCTGGGGGTAAGGAGGCGGGCGAGGTGCGCGCGGGGCCGGCGACGCGGGGCGCCCGAATCTCCGAGGCCGGAGCCAGGTGCCCGGGTGGGAGGCCAGCTCACCTGCGCGAGCTCGGCCCAGCCCTCTGGCTGGGGTTTCCTCGTCTGTGAAGTGGGGGTGACAAAGCTCTCGTCTCGCGGGGCTCTCGTGGGCGTGAATTGACACCAGGCCCGAGGGCGCCTAGCGCACTGTCCACGAGGACAAGTGTTTTTTAAGCCCTTCGAGGCACGTTCCGACGGGAGGTCTGGGGCCCCTGGCAGCTCTGTGATTTGGCGGAGGCGGGACCGCCAGGAGCGTGCTTCGCCACCCTCTGCGCCCTCTTCGCGGGAGGCCCCGAGCGCCTCCCCCCCCCCCCATCTCCATCCCACCTGGAGCAGGTCGGGTCCCTGGGCCCGAGAAGTTTGAGGCTGGCTCCACCCTTCTTCCCGAAGCCTCCTGGGCTGAGCTGGGGCCACCCACCCACTGGCGGGCTAGCCTGCACTGTAAGGCGCCGTGGGACCCCATGCGTGGAGTCATGCTTTGGCACGCCACCCTCTTTTTACGCCTATCAGTGAGCTGCTGGGGGGCTGACTCTATCCGAATGGTAGAGTGGGCCTGACACACCCCGTGGGCTAGCCCTTGGGCTTACGTGGATGTGTCTGCTAGCGTGGTACACCTTCAGGGAGGCCGGGCCTTGGCACTGGGTTCCAAGTCTGTGTTCCCTGGAGGACCCGAGTAAGTTTGCGGTCCTGGGTCTGCTTGTTTGGCCTTTAGTTTCTCAGCTTTTACTAGGAGAGTTATTTATTCAACAGGTATTAATTGGGAGCCAGGTTTAGCCATCAGGAATTTGGCGATGAGTTGACAAACGTGGCAGGCCCTGCCTCCTGGGCAGAGAGAGGGTATTCCAGGCCCAGTGCAGCTCTGACCTCGGGCGCTTCTCTCCTCCAGCACCTGCCAGCGGTGGGCGCCAGGGAGGAAGAGGAGTGAGGACTATCATTAGCCTTAAGCCCTGGGCGTGAGAAAGCTGGTGAAGGGAGTGTGCCAGGAAGTGATGCGTGGGAAGGGATTTAAGAATGTACCAGTTTGTTACCCAATCAGGCCTCAGGAAACCAAAGACTAGAGCCTCAAGAAGGTGTAGAAACACCAGAGTTTTTGACAAAGCGGTGGAGAATTTCTCCCAGGCCCAGGCACCAGAGGAGGCAGGAAGGAGGAGCCTCTGCCCATCCAGCTCTCAGCTCCCTCCACCCTTCTCTGACCCCCTCTCTGCTCACCTTTCCCTTGCCCTTGTCTGCCACCCCTCCCATGTCCCCCTCACCCTACCCGTGGTGGCTCAAGAGGGTGGGGGCTGTCCCAGGGCCAATGTCCCTTTTCAACTTCTTGGGGAATGTGGGTTCTCTCCCCAGAGGGGCAGGATTCCTGCTGTTTCCCCACAGGTGTCCTGGGAGCTTGGGGTTTGGGATAGGAAGGCTCATCCTCAGGCTGTCCTGCTCAGAGACGCAGACTCAGTCACTCTGGGCTCTTGTTCAGGCAGGGCCTCTTCCTGGAATGCCTCTCTACCCATTCTCACCAGGCTCTTAGGGGTCCTGTCCAAGCCCCAGGGTCCAGTGCCCTGCCAAGCTGTAGGTGCTTCACCAGCCAACCCCACTGTCCCAATGGTGTCCCCATGCAAGCACAAGGTGGGTGGTGCCCACCCTGCTAATGAGCTGAGGCCTGAGCCTCCCAGGTGGGCAAGGATGGAAGTGGCTGCCAGGAAGGAGGCAAAGGGTCAGTAGTTCCCACTTCCCTGGGACCCTCTCCTGGTCCAGTTTGAGAAATGGAGCGACTAGTACAAAATCATCTGCATGCTCCTACGACAGAGCGGGCAGGGGCTGTCCTCTCCCCTTTGACCTGATCGGGTCCCAGGGCTGCCTTCGGCCTCCTGGCCTGGCCTAGCCCTTGCTGGGAGGCTGTCCAGGCACCATGTGCAGGTGACACCCCCACCTCAGAGCCTGGCTCCTAGAGGCCCCTGTCCGGTTCCTTTGGGTTTGGGCTCCTAAAGACCGCAAGTCTCAGGGCAGATGAGGGCGGTGCTTCTCCTTAGTGGCCTGGGGTCCCTCTAGATTCAGATTTCCAAGTCACAGGAGGACAGCACAGCAGGTTGACTGCCTGAAGGTGAGTCACCTGTTCAACTTACCCTTAGAGAAGCGGGGCAGGACCTTGATTGATAACCCCGAGGCCTCAGTTGGTGGAAGGCTCAGGATACCTGCCTGCCCAGCCAGGGGGTCAGACCCAGGTCATCTGCCTGCTTAGACCTGGGCTCTGGATGGGGGTCTCCCTGCTGGGGGCATGGATAGGAGGAGGTGCCGAGAGAAATTCAATGTGGGCAGGGGGACCCCAAATGGGGAGGACATGTGCCCCTCCCACCACCTCTGCTGCCAGGTGCCTTCAGGATGGTGGTTCCCCCTCCTATCCTGGATGGTCATGGGATGGGAGGTGTCCCTGAGAGTCCAGCTTGTGTAAGGCAGTGGGCACTGGCTTTGGAGTTGGGAGACTGGGCCCATTTCTGTTGCTACAAGTGGCCTACGGGTCATCTCAGGGAGATGGCCTGGCCCAGCTCCCCGACTCTCAGGTGACTGTGAGGTTAAAAGGATAAGGCTTTGGGGTCTGGGGGCCCTGATGGAGGCAGGCGCCACAGTCCATTCTGTTGTTGTGGATGCTCTGGGTAAGGGGGACCCAGCCTCTTGCCTGAGGGCACTGAAGCCAGTCAGGGGAGAGAGTGGGGATGCAAATGTCTGCCCCTGCAGTCCTTGCCTGGGACCTCCCAGCAGAGGGAGGGAGCCTCCAACACTTGAGCATCCACTTCCCTGGGACCCCACAGCTGGGCCTGGCTGCAAGGGCTTGGTGGGCTGGAGGGGCCCCGGCTGGAGGGAGGCCGATCAGCACACCGCAGGCAAATGTTAGGTTTCCAAAATCCCGTCACAGCCCAAGAAGAGAGGCTCTAGAACTAGGATTTTCAAATTCAAAACATGAAATGAAAAAAAAAAGGTAGATCTCAAACTATAGAAACTATGTCTCAGGCAGAAACACAGCTGTGGAAGTCTTGGCAGAAAATCAGGTCTTCTCATCCACCTGTGGGTGTTGGGGGTCCCAGAGGGAGACAAGGACCTGAGATGGTGATTGTGATGAATAAATAATAGTGGAATTTTTCTCTGATCAGAAAAAGGGGAGTCTGCAGACTGATAGGCTGGCAGAATGCCAGGCAGGGTTGTTTTGAAGAAGAAAGACACACCCTTGGCATCTCCTGTGACATTCCTGAAATCTACAAATAAAATCTCAGAGCCTTCCTGTCTGAATAAATCAATTATTGACACAGGAGAAGAAACACTCGGGGAGCAGATTTCTCATCTGCAGCCCTGGAAGCCAGAGGACTTTGGGACACCGCAGTCCTTCACGGCCGGGCCCCAGATCCTCGTCAGACACAGAACTATTTGTTCCCTGATGGCCTTAAAGAAATGGCTTGTGTGGAGAGCTGGGTTTCAGGGGGCATTTCCCCATGCGCCATGAGGTTCGAATCCCAGCTCCACCAGTTCTACCTGGGTGGCATGGACATGTCACCTCTTTGTGTCTCGGTTTCCTCATCTATCAAATGGGCTAAGTCCTTTCTGCACAGGTATTAAGAGGGAGGGGTAGTATAGGTACAGAACCAAGAACAGTAGCCAGCAGGCAAACACTTGCTACGTGTAGCTGTTTTAATTAGACATAAACACTGGTGGCAGTAAAAGGACTCTAGGGTGTGCATGCAAAATTCTGGGGAGGAGCTCTGGCTGGTGCGGCTCATTTGCTTGAACATTGTCCCGTGCACCGAAGGGTCACTGGTTCCATTCCTGGTGAGGGCACAGACCTAGGTTTCGGGTTTGGTCCCCTGATGGGGTGCATATGGGAGGCAACCGATCAATGTTTCTCTCCCCTCCACCCCTTCCTCTCTCTAAAATTTAAAAAAAAACCTTATTTTTAAAAATTTGTCTTAGAATTCTAGGGAGGAAAGCGTGGCAGTTACTCAGCCTCACTGAGCCTCTGTTTTGCCCCATGAGGTGGGGTCACAAGGCTGCCTGAGTCACAGGGATGTCTGCAATCGGCACAGCACACAAGACAGAAGTGTTTGTGAGCCTTTGTGCATTTTGGCAGGGCCTGGACCTCACCAAGCATGATTGCAGTCACCAGCGGCCCCCTGGGCCTCATGTGGCTCCCATGAGGGAAGGGCCTAGTCAGCCTGCCATGCACCAGGTCCTGGGTGGGCATTTTCCAGGGATCTCATGGGGGAAGTCGATTCACACCTGGACAGGTGAGAAAATGAGGCTCAGACACCAAGTCCGTTTTCCTTGGCCAGCCGGGAAGTGATGGAGGGAAAATTCAAATCTGGGTGAGGCTCTGGCCCCAAGTCCAACATTTCTGGAGTCCCCTGCCAATGCCAGGAGGTCTTTAAGCAATGGGACCATCTTAGAAATAGCATGTGCAGCCCAGCCAGTGTGGCTCAGTGGTTGAGCGTTGACCCATGCACCAAGAGGTCTCTGGTTCAGTTCCCGGTCAGGGCACATGCCCAGGTTTCGGGCTCTGTCCCCAGTGGGGTCATGCAGGAGGCAGCCAGTTGATGTTTCTTTCTCATCAATGTTTCTGTCTCTCCCTCTTCCTTTCTCTCTGTCTCTAAAAAAATCAATAAAAACATATTAAAGAAAGAAAGGGCACATGCAGCTCACAGGGGACAACTTCTGTTGTCAACCGCAGTGAGCAGCAGGGTGAGAGTTGGACCAGCTTTGAGTTGGACAGATCCTGGCATGACTTTGGGGATGTCACCCCCCCTGTCACACGCCCACCCCCTACCTCAGCCATGAGGACTCAGGGGCTCATGGGAGGAACAGGCTGCCCCTGTTCAGTCCAGCAGCCCAGCACCGACTTCCTGGAGCGCCACCCCCCGCTGCAGGTGTCGGAGACATCTGGGTCACAAGTCCTCCTTTCTTCCTCCAGGTGTGGCAGGCGTGCTGGTGGGACACCCATTTGACACGGTCAAGGTGAGTCTCTTGTCATGGTTTTAGTTTCAGGCCCCGTGGAAGCCCGGACAGGACAGAAGCCTGCGGGCCCTGGGTGTCCGGAGGCTCCTTCCAGTGTGCACCTTTGGGGTCCTTCAAGCTCTTCCCACAGGTTCTAGAGCAGCGGTTCTCAGCCTGTGGGTCACAACCCTTTTGGGGGTCAAACGACCCTTTCACGTGGGTCACCTAAGACATAACAGTAGTAAAATTACAGTTATGAAGTAGCAACGAAAATAATTTTATGGTTGGGGGTCACCACAACATGAGGACCTGTATTAAAGGGTCACGGCATTAGGAAGGTTGAGAACCACTGTTCTAGAATGAAGTAGAATCAGGGTCCTCTGACACTTTGATGGGTGGCCGCGTTCCTCCTGGGCCTGTCCCCACGTCTCCCAGCAGGGCTGAGTGCTGAGGTCCATCCTGGAGCGTGGCCAGCTGAGCCCAGGGGGCCAGTTTCCCCTTGTCCAGAGCACAGACCCCCACACCGTTCTTGCAAAGACAGCTTCTTCAAAGAAAGAAAAGGTCACAGAAAATACAGAAAAATCAACACTGATCAGGATTCCCCACGAACGTGATCTTCACGGAGAGATTGTCAAGACACTGAGCGATCATTCCCTGAGGGCAGGTGTTCACCGGCGGCGTGTTAGTGCGGCAGGCGCTTGGCGCCTCCTCCGAGACCCCTGCACCTGCAGAGCCTGCCGAGTTCAGGTTCTGGGACACTGCAGAACGAAACCAAGGAGTCCATGGTCTTGCGCCGGAGTTCCAGCTCGGAGGTTCCCTGTTGCGGTTTTATGTCCTTGCCCTAGCCAAGTCAGGGCCCTGCCTTGCCAGCTCACCTGGGAGCCAGGCAGCAGGGCACGAGGCCAGACCTTCTGTCTACTGTGAACACTGCCCACCAGGCGAGGGCAGAGCGCAGGCAAGGATGTTGTCCCCAGCTGGGCTTGAGGCAAGCTTCCAGTCTCTTCTTTTCTGGAGCCCAAGAAAAGGACTTGGCAAGCTTGGGGCCAGGTCTCCTCCAGCAGAGACGCCTTGCCTTAGGCATCGACTCCAACCTGAAAAAGGCTGCCCCTGGGCCTGGTGCAGGTCCAGGCCACCCTGCCAGCTGCTCTGCTGAGTGACTTGGGCCTGTCACTTTACTCTTGGGCCCAGCTGTTTTCATCTGCACAGTGAGGGGCTGGGCAAGGTTACTGAGGCGGATTTGGGGCGAGGCCAAAGGGCCAGGCTCTCTGGCCATGCAGTGGCCCCTGAGTTCCCTGAGGGCCACCAAGAGTAAGGCCCTGGTGGAGCCTGTCCACGTGGCTGCCCAGGACAGCCTGGCAGTGTCCACGTTACTCTGTGTTGCTATCTTGTGGTCACGTGTTGTAAAGGCCTCGGAGTTGCATCCAGCCAAGAAGTGGGTGTGATTCACATCCTCAGCCCAGCTTTTCAGAGGCCGCTCTGAGCTATGACTCAGCCCAGGCCTGGCCAGGCCTTCTGCAGGCTCCCACTGGGCCCCTCCGCCAGTCCCCAGCAGCGAGGAGCACTGGTCCTGGTACCCCCACCCCTCAGCTCCTGAGCTGGGACCAGCGCCCTCTGCAGCGATTGGGCTGCAGGAACTGGGCTAATGCCCTTTGGAGCTGCCCTTAGCTGGCACCTAGAGGGAGGAAACCTATTTGTGATCTTGTTTCTTTTTCTTTTGCCATCATGTCTGGGCAAACCTGGGACACATCGACAGGTCGCCTCCCACACGATCCCGACCAGGACCAGGGACAAACCGCAACCAAGGCACGTGCCCTTGGCCAGAATCAAACCCGAGACTCATTGGTCCACGGGCCGATGCTTCAACCCCTGAGCCAAACCTGCCAGGGCTTGGCTTTATTTTTTTTTATTTATTTTTTTTATTTTTTACAGAATCTGGTTTTTTTTTATCCTCATTCGAGGACATTTTTCCATTTTTTGTGTTCAGGTAGAGTGGGAGGGGGAGAGAGGAACAGAGAGAGAGAGAGAGAGAGAAACATCGACGTGAAAGGAACACATCGAGTGGCTGCCACCCACACAACCGACCAGGGCCGGGGACAAACTGCAACCGAGGCACATGCCCTTAGCGGAAACCGAACCCGGGTCTCTCTGGACTGCAGGCCGACGCTCTAACCGCTGAGCCAAACCGGCCAGGGCCCCCCATTCATTTTCTACTTAAAAACAGAAATGTAGGGCTGGCTGGTTTGGCTCAGCGGTTAGAGCACCAGCCTGCAGACCGAAGAGTCCTGGGTTTGGTTCCTGCTAAGGGCATGTACCTCAATTGCAGTTTGTCCCCGGCCCCGGTTTGGGTCGTGTGGGTGGCAGCCACTCGATGTGTCTCTGTCACATCGATGTTTCTCTCTCTCTCTTCCTCCTTCTCTCCCTCCCACTCTATCTGAAGATAAATGCAAAATGTCCTCAGATGAGGATTAAAAAAAAAACAGAAATGTACATAGAACCGTATATATTCTTGCTTTGGCAAAAGTAGGATTTATTTCATAGCTCTGCAGTTGAAATTTAATGTGTAGGAAAGTGCACATGTGCTAAGTGTGCAAATCTAGGAATCATGGGAAAAGAACAAGGCCAGCCCCCCCACCCCCTACCCCCCACCCCCTTCCCCTCTCCAGGCCTCCGCCATCCTAAGGCCAGGGTCCATGTTGTTTTGCCTTTCCTTGAGACTTGCAGAACGGACGAGGGGCATCTGTGTTTGTTGTCAGTCACATGGTCTCATGGCAGGGACATTCACAGTTTAGTCGTCCAGGCTCTTGGGACTGAAATTTGAGTCCAAAATTTGGTTTCCCTCTATTGAGACTAGAACCACACCCACTATCCTCAGCCACATTTCTAACACGAAGGTAGTTTTCTGTCCTACTTCAAGGGGACAGGACAGTACCCAGGCGAGGGTTCCCAGCCCGCTTGCACCCGCCAGTGGCTATCCCAGGGCAAGGGAGAGGCTGGGAGGCGGAGGCTGGCCCCCAGGGGAGGGGCTGGGAGATGGAGGCTGGCCCCCAGGGGAGGCCCTGGGAGGCGGAGGCTGGCCCCCAGGGGAGGGCCTGGGAGACGGAGGCTGGCCCCCAGGGGAGGGGCTGGGAGGCGGAGGCTGGCCCCCAGGGGAGGGGCTGGGAGGCGGACTCTGGCCCCCAGGGGAGGGGCTGGGAGGCGGAGGCTGGCCCCCAGGGAGGGCCTGGGAGGCGACTCTGGCCCCCAGGGGAGGGGCTGGAGGCCAGAGGCTGGCCCCCAGGGAGGGCCTGGGAGGCGGACGCTGGGCCCCAGGGGAGGGCTGGGAGGCGGAGGCTGGCAAGGGAGGGGGCATGGGGGGGGCTGGAAGGGGGGGTGGGAGGGTGGGCACTGGCCCAGGGGAGGGGCTGGGAGGCCGTAGGCTGGCCCCAGGGAGGGCCTGGGAGGGGACTCTGGCCCCAGGGGAGGGGCTGGGGAGGCGAGGGCTGGCCCCCCAGGGGAGGGGCTGGGAGGCGGACTCTGGCCCCCAGGGGAGGGCCTGGGAGGCGGACGCTGGCCCCCAGGGAGGGCCTGGGAGGCGGACGCTGGCCCCCAGGGGAGGGGCTGGGAGGCGGAGGCTGGCCCCCAGGGAGGGGCTGGGAGGCGGACTCTGGCCCCCAGGGGAGGGGCTGGGAGGCGGAGGCTGGCCCCCAGGGAGGGGCTGGGAGGCGGAGGCTGGCCCCCAGGGAGGGGCTGGGAGGCGGAGGCTGGCCCCCAGGGGAGGGGCTGGGAGGCGGAGGCTGGCCCCCAGGGAGGGGCTGGGGGCGGAGGCTGGCCCCCAGGGGAGGGGCTGGGAGGCAGAGGCTGGCCCCCAGGGGAGGGGCTGGGAGGCGAGGCTGGCCGACAGTCTCTGCCCTCAACTGATGTTGAAAGTTTATGTGGCTTTAACCACCTTCCTGAGCTAGAGCTGTCTCCGCCCATCGTTAAAATGCAACTTTGTTATAGGGGAGTGTAGCCTCACCCCAGAGACCAGGTGAATCCCACGCTTCCCTTCTCTGTCCTCCCTGAATCAGACCCTGGGCCTGGACCCCGGCCTGACCCCCAGAGTCCCCCCCTGGCCTGGCAGGGGCAGGAAGGGCAGGGTTGCACTTGGGCCCAGCACAGGTCCTGGGCTGGGGAACTGGTTGAGAAAAATCATCCCCCTCTGAACCAGGGGGTGTTCATGTTGGGGTCTCCCAGGCCTGGGCTTGTGTGCAAATGACTTTTCTAGGGTGGGGTCATCAGTCCCCAAAGGAGATCCTGTCATCCAAAACATTAAAGTTATCGATTCTAGATAGTATGACATTTCACCCCCACACCTGGTCTCCCAGACACCCCAGACCCAGGAGTCGCAACAAGGGGAGGCGGCTTCTGTGGTCTCTCGTGGGACTCGAGCTGGCCGGAGCCTGGGCATGAAACTGTCCGATTGCAAAGACTCAAAGACATCACCGGGGTGTCCCAGAAATGCCACCCAAGGAGGGGACAGCCCCACTTCACGTCATCTCTGCTAACAGCCCTCTTCATGCCAGTGTCGGGCGCTGCAGGACAGAGAGCGGTCCTTCCAAAGACCCCAGAACACTGAAGGGAAAAGGAAAAGCCTCTGAGCCCGTCTCCCCATCTGAAATGGCAGTGACTGAACCCACCTGGGCTGGTGCTTACCAGCCTGGGGACCCCTCTCCTGCCTGGCACAGATGGGCACTCACGTCGTGGTCCTGGTGGTAGTGAGGATTTCTGTGTCAGAACGGGGGAGAACGTGACTTCACACACACCCGGGACAGATTCCGAGCTCAGGAAACGTTCCTCCCACTCTGCGCTGCGGGCCAGGGCCGTGTACCCAGCGCAGAGATAAGCTCAGGGTCAGGATCAGCAGACTCAGCGAGACCGGAGCGCGGGCTCCTCGGTCCAGGTGCTGGGCCTGACTCCCAGGCCCGCAGTTGCTGACGGGGTCCCCAAGGAGGCTGTCAGCTGCTGTCCCGTGACTACTAACTCATGGCCACTGCGCTCACAGGGGCTGCCGGCAGAGCCCGAGCAGGAGCCGGGGGCCCAGCGCCGTGGTGCCCGCTGCTGTGCGCCAGCTCCTGACAAGGGGAGTTCTAGGTCAGGAGCCCCGTTGGCATTGGCCATGATTTGCCACCAGAACAGTGGGGGGTCCTGGGAGGTGCCCCACTCAGTGTGCTGTAGGGACAGTGAGAAGGAGGCTTGGTGTCTGATGGTGGGGCAGAGGTGTAATGGCCACCGTAATCAGGAGTAGCGTCAGACCGAAAGACAAAGCAGGCAACGCCATAGAATACAACAGAATTTACTGTAGGATGACTGACTACGGGCAGATGGGGTCAGAGCAGAACAGACCCTCGGCAATTCTGCACACATTCTCCGCTGCCGGGCCCGTCACAGTGCTGTTTTGACAGTATAACCCAGCTACTGACTGACCAGACCAAGGGACAAAGAATGCAGTTGTCCCAGGGGCCGTACCTCCTCTGGGTGGTCCTGTGACCTATGACTGCTTATAATTGACACGATTACCAGTTTGATATTTATCTCAGTTGTCATGCTATCTGGGCTGTTACTAACACAACTCTTAATGGCTACATTTTAAGGCGCACAGATAATCATCAAGTACAAGGCTTTGATATAGTTGCTAAGGACAGTGAGGTTGGTCACAGGTCACAGCATGACACTGAGGTCGGGACGCAGACGTGGAGTTGGCTTTGCTCACATCTACATCTGTACACACAGCCTCCACTTGTCCGGGGTCTCGGGAGGCCCTGCCCCTTCGGGTGTCTGGCTGGCTGGCTGCTCACCAACACCCCTCTCTGAAGAGGCATGACACCTGGCCTCACCCACCTTGAAATCCCCAAAACCACAGAAAGCTAGCTGCTGGTCACCCTGCCCTGTGGGCCGGCCTCTGCTGCTGCTGTACCAAATGCCGGCCCCAGGAGCTGGGTGCTCCGGCGCATGCTCGCCCCCTGTCATGGGCCTCTCCTTCCAGGTGCGGCTTCAGGTCCAGAGCCTGGAGAAGCCCCAGTACCGAGGGACTGTCCACTGCTTCCAGTCCATCATCAAGCAAGAGAGCGTGAGTGGTCTGGGCAGGGCAGGGGCGGGGCCCAGCCTCTAGGATGCTGGCTCCAGACCGCAGGGTGGGGAGGGGTCGGGGACTGTTGAGGGAATAAGAACCTTGGAAATGGGGTGGTGTGAATGCCCAGGCCTCGCAGATCGAGGTTGGTTCTAATAAAATTCTGTCAGACCCTCGTACACCTGGGGTGGGCTGGGGCCGCCCCACCTGCAGTGCAGATTCTGTGGGGAGGTGGGCTACGCGCCCATGCCCCCACCAGGAGGTGGGCACCTGACGCCTCTGTGTGCCCCACAGGTGCTGGGACTGTACAAGGGCCTGGGCTCACCGCTCATGGGGCTCACCTTCATCAATGCACTGGTGTTTGGTGTGCAGGGCAACACCCTGCGGGCCCTGGGCCGAGACTCGCCGCTGAACCAGTTCCTGGCGGGCGCAGCGGCAGGCGCCATCCAGTGCGTCATCTGCTGCCCCATGGAGCTGGCCAAGACTCGGCTGCAGCTGCAGGACGTGGGCGCGGCCCGCACCTACAGGGGCTCCCTGGACTGCCTGGCACAGATCTACCAGCAGGAGGGCCTGCGCGGCGTCAACCGGGGCATGGTGTCCACACTGCTGCGCGAGACGCCCAGCTTCGGAGTCTACTTCCTCACCTACGACGTGATGACGCGCGCCCTGGGCTGCGAGCCGGGGGACCCGCTGCTGGTGCCCAAGCTGCTGCTGGCGGGCGGGACGTCGGGCATCATGTCCTGGCTCTCCACCTACCCTGTGGACGTGGTCAAGTCACGGCTGCAGGCCGACGGGCTGCGGGGGGCCCCGCGCTACCAGGGGATCCTCGACTGCGTGCGCCAGAGCTACCACGCCGAGGGCTGGCGCGTCTTCACCCGTGGGCTGGCCTCCACGCTGCTGCGCGCCTTTCCGGTCAACGCTGCCACCTTTGCCACTGTCACTGTCGTGCTCACTTACGCGCGGGGCCCGGAGGACCAGTCTGAGGACGAGGCTGTGCCTGCTGCCTCCGGGCCTGCGCTGGCCCAGCCCTCCAGTCTGTGACTCCCAACTCCTGTGGCATAGGGTGTGACCTCCCCGGGGCCACTTTCCAGAAACCCAACATAGACATAAATTGCCCACCCCCCGCCCGGCCCACTGTCCTGCCCAGACACCGGGGGCTGGGGACTCCGCCAGGTCTGGGCCTAATGCCACTCATCAGCTTGGTTACCTTGGCCACAAGCTTGACGTCCTTTTTTCTCAGCTGTGAAATGGGGACCCACATTGAGCAGTTGGGAAGCTGACACTGTTACCTGGAAGTTTCCAGAAACCCGAGCCAACACTCCAGCCCCTCCCTGGGGTCCCGCACCACGGGCTCTCCCATGGGCGGGCTCTCCGTGACTCCCTGACTGCACCTGCGGTCCCTGGCGGAGTGCTTGGCCGCCTGGCCAGGCTGTATGGGGACCGGCAGCTCCGGGTGCTTTCTGGTGTCAGAACCGAATCCTCTGCCAGAGAACCCCAGCTTCTCCACGTGGCACTGCTGGGAACACCCCTACTGCCACTCCCGTTGGAGGCTGACCTGGGGCCCTGCCAAGAGGCCAGAGGTTTGCTGGAGGCTTCGTACCCTCCTGGAGATAGGGGCTGGGGGGCAGGGGGGGCCAGCGGGGGGTCTCAACAGAGGTGCGGCAAGGGGACGTCTCCTTACCTTGGGCTGCCCATCTGTAAAGTGGGGACGCGGGTCATGATGTCTGGAGTCTGGCCCACCACCCCCAGCCAGGGTTTCCCAGGGTCTGTAGAGGGTCGAGAGGGAGATAGTACAGGGTCCCTACTCCCCAGCAAATGGTGTCTTTCCTGGGCAAGCTCCTCAGTGCCCGGTGTTCCTGTGAGGCTGTGGAGACCTGTTAGTGGGCATGGGCGTGGCCAGTTTGGGCCCCTCCAGGCTGAGGGGCATCTGAACCCACGCTGTAGGGTTTTCACTAGGAGCTAGGGCTGTGCTGAGAGCGTGGGGTAGCCCGGGCACATCCAGTATGGCATGGCCGTGTGATTTGATGGGGAGGTGGGTGGTTTTGCACAGATGGTGACTATGGCCCCCTTTGCCCTGAGTGGCAGCCTCTTGGGCAGTGTGACAAGCTCTCCAGCAGAGGCAGCTATGGTCAAAGAAGACAGCACTCCACCCTGTACACGAGTGTCATTGGGGTACAGAAGCCACAGAGGGAATAAAGTGTTTGTTTTTTAAGAGGGTCAAGCTTTGTGTATCAGAAGGGGCTTCGTACCACACCCCTCCCTGGAGTCGAGGGGCAGGCTTGGTGGTCTGTACCCCTGGGCCCTGATGGCAGCCCCAGCTGTGTGACCTGTGAGCTTTGGGGCACATCTTAGAGCCTCGGCTTCCTCGTCTGCAGTATGAGGACTGAGCGAGTGAAGCTCACGGGCTGGATGGGGTCTTGGCGTTCAGCAGGTGCCCTCGGGTGTCTGGTTACCCCAGAATGGGAGACCTGCCCCCTGCTCGTCCTCCTGCAGGGCAGGGCAGGGCAGGGCAGGGCAGGGCAGGCAGGTGTGTTAGGAGCTCCCCAGAGTACTCGTTGTGCTGAGGGCAGAGGAACTGCCGAGGTCAGCAGCGGCCTCCCGGAGGAAGGGGAATGGGTCTCCCACCTGAGATTAGACCTCACCCAGCCGACGGGGTCCATGAGCGCTTCCTGGAGGAAGCCTTGGTTGCCCACCCCCTTTCTCTCGGCCTCCTGCAGTCAGTCCTGGGCACGAAGCTACCAGCCTGGAGGCTCTTCCCTTCCCGACTGCTGAACCACCGCCCACAGGGTAGGCAGGAGCCGGCAGTGCCTTCACGCCCCATTTAGTCCCAGCACCAGCCTGTGATGTTGGGCTTGCCTGCGGTTTCCAGGGCCAGGAGGCCAGGAAGGGGCTGGCGGTGGCCCTGGGGTGCAGTGTGCTCAGGGGTGTCGCAGGCCCCATTAACCCAGCTGTCCCCTCCCTGGGGTGCCAGGCAGCAGCTCCTTCCCCATGAGGTCCCCTGGCCTCTCTCTCTCCTCTTTCCTCCGAGAAAACCCAGGCAAATGCTAAACACCAGGGTCCCCGGCTCCCGCCCGGAGCGCTGATGGTTAAACATTACCAACAGATGGGGCGGGAGAAGTGTAGGATTTTATCAATTTATTTGACAATTTACTTTCTCCCTCACTTATATTTATTCTATTTGGAATACATAATATACTAATGTGGCAAAATACAAATAAAAATGCAGACGAAACGCAGGCTGTGCAGTGAAAGCAGAAACCTGGTCCCCACCTCCTCCCGGCCAACGTGCTCTTCCTCGAGCCGAGGACTGTCCCCAGCTAGGAGACGGCCCTGGGCGTCCCCAGTCCCAGCGCCTGGAAACACTCCCACTCCCTGTAGTGTGGCCTCGGTACTGAACGTTCTTTTACCTTGACAGTCGTCTTGGAGGTGTGTGGCTCAAACAATAGGCGTTTATCTACTATGCTACTCCAATACGACCTCTGCAAGGACCTGTTCCAACGAAGGTCCCTGGGGGATGTTGGCAGATCCTCCTAGGTGCCTACCTAATAGTCTTGCCTTTCCTAATAGAACCCAAATTTGCTCTGAGCTTCAGAACGTCCAGTTAAAAACTTTTCCTGATTCCCTTGCAGCTAGAGGTGGCCATGGGTCCCATGTCTGGTCAATGAGATGAAAGCAGAGATCAGTGGCTGGGGCTTCCGAAAAAGCTTTGTAAAGGGACAAGTGCAGAGAGGAGAGCCCGCCGGCCCTGCGGCCTCGGAAGAGCCCCTGCACCAGCCTGTTCTGCAGAAGGCCAGTCACTTCCCCCTTGTTTCAGTCACTGTCCTTGGGCTTCTGTCACTTGCAGCCAATGGCATCATGGCCAAGGTGAGGCACTGGAAGGTTTCACCGGACTCCACAGGAGGCTACGAGGTGGGTGGGCTACACGGAACAAGAGGCAGGCCGCGGAGGGGTGGGGGTGCTTCTGAGCCAAAGCGCTTGAGGTGGGAAGGGACAGCAGCAGGGGCAGGTGGGAGGGACCCCTCTGGGGAATGATGACAGATGAAGCCCCCATGGCAGTCGGAGGGACACTTTGCGCCGGCGTTTCCCAGTTTCTCGGCACAGGATGCCAGCCGTGCAGAGGAAGCGCCTGTGGCCCTGCCCAGCTCCTCTGCGCTGGACCACACACCGCAACCGCGCCTGTTGACCCCGTGGGCCTCGGCAGGCGGCCTCCGTGCTGGCCCGGGCCTGCCTTCCACTAGTTCTTCAGTCGTTTCTCACAGCCCAGAGCCCCTGTTCCCAGAGGCAGGCCGCCACAGCCCCCGTGGAGGGCAGGGTCTTGTAATGGGGCAGTGACTGCCCTGTGCACACACCCTCTCCAGTCCTCTCAGCCTCCGTTTTGCAGCAGGGGACCCCAGTGGGGAGGCCCTGTCCAAGGTCACATGGCCAGCTGGTACTGGGGCAGGAGCCCGAAGGCCTTCCTGGCCACGCAGCAGAGGGCCGCCCTCTACCCTGCAGCAGGAGCTCCCTGCCGGCCCAGGACACCCAGCGGCAGACACCCTGGAGTGGCAGTCCCAGCAGCAGAGGGAGGGGCAGGAGCCTGGGACAGGTCAGGGCCCACCTTGGTCCCGCTTCCTTGCTGCTGTGCCCGCCCTTACATGGCACCCACAGGCTGCCCAGGGGAGCGTGGATGCTGGGAGCTGGGCCTATGCAGCCCCTGCTCACCCCTCACTGGGAAGCCCTTCCCAGCGGCCCCGACCTGGCCGGCCATGCTGTCCCAGGCCGGCTGATGGGTACCACGGGCCGTGAGGAGCAGTCTGTGTGCCCCCAGGGGGCGCACGGGTGGTGCTCCGTGCGGTTTGACGTGGGAAGCGTGCCCTGGAAGGCTGGCATGGGGCTGAGGGTGCTGGGGTGCAGCCCCAGAGAAGCAGGGGTGGCAGTGAGCGGAGGACCCCAGGACAGAGACTGGGGGCTGCAGGTGTCGGAAACACAGGGTTTGGGGGCGGCCATGGTAGTGGTAGGCTCGAGCGGGTCAGGAGGAAGGGCACCAGGGAAGATGGGCGGGGAGGAGTGACCCAGCCTCAGAATGAACCGGTGACTGCGGCAGAGTCGGAGTGGACGGGGGTGGACAGATTTGGGAGTGGAAGCGGCTGCCGCCTGTGGTGTGAGGGTGAGAGAAAGCAGCTGGGCTTGGAGGGCTCCTGCCCCTCTTCCAACACACACCAGGTCCTGACTTCGCCCAGGGCAGGAGATGGTCAGGCCACCCCTCCCCTTGTCTAGGGGGCACCCCCAGCCCCAGGCCTAGCTCAGGTGGCCCCTCCTGGGACGTCTTCCCTCCAGTCCTACCAGAGCACCAGGAGAACCCCCCTCTCCTGGGGCCCAGCCCGCCCCTCCCTGTCCCTCCTTTTGGGCTCTCCCAGGCTGGCCCCGTGACCCTTTCCCCCTTTGCCCAGCTTCTGCTGAGGAAAAGGAACCTCCGACTGGCCCAAGGTCATCAGCCCTAAAGTTCGGGCGAATCCTGAGGCCTTTCCGACCTGGCTGGCCTCCCCACGTGTCCCCTCCCAGCACACAGGTCCGGGTCCCCTCAGAACACCCGGGGCTCAGCAGCAGGTAGTCCCACGGTGCTGGAGGACAAATGAACGACCACTCCGCCCATGAATGGGTCCCCACGTTGGGTCTAGGGGCGCACGCAGATGGCACGAATGGCTGCGGGTGCCAAGGTGCAGGTCTCAGGGCGGCTCCTACCCGACCCGAGCTCAGGCCGCACCCAGGCGTCCCCAGATGGGTCCTGGCCTCCCCTAGCCCCGCACATGCGCAGAACCCCCCCTCCCCAGTACAGCACAGCGCCCTCCAGTGGGAAGGAAAAGGCTATAATCTGCTGGTACCGGCCCAGTTGGGGGTCAAAGGCTGAAAAACTGAATAACCTCAGGCCGGGAGGCCAGGGCAGAGGCAGCTCAGACGGGAGGGGGAGAGGAGGATGCACAGGCTGTCCCCCTGCCAGAGGGTGGGCACAGGGCTAGAGGGGGCTTGGGCCAGGCCCCTCCCTCGCTGGCACAGCACTTGGCCCGTTTGCCTTCTATCCTCTCCCCTCTCCCGTCTCCCCCACTAGATGCAAGTTCCATGAGCCCCGGGACGTCCGACACAAGTGGTGGTCCGTAGCTGAGTGAATGAACGAACACGGGGGTCCGAGGGAAGGGGCAGCTTTGGACACGAAAGGCCTCGAGGGGAGGCGAGAGGTTGGGAAAGTAGGGTCAGGGCTCGGCTTGGCTTTGGGTTTTATCCGGTAGGAAGTGGGGAGCCCCTGGAGGTTCAGGTGGGCCGGTGCGACCGGAACCGAGGGGGCCGTGGTGCCGCTCCGAGCACGGGCTAGGCTTCTTCCAAGGGGTTGGAGATGGATCAGGCTGGGCAGCCAGGGGCAGCAGTGCGCAGCGGGAGCCAGGTAGGCCCGGCGTTTCATTGCAGCGGCCCGGACCTTCTCTGGTGACCCCCATTCACGACACGGGGCAGTGCTACAGAACTCCTCCGAGGGAGGAGAAATTGATACAATACTCACAGCGCCAGGCATAGTCCTGGGCAGTTGGACCCCAACGAATGTTATTACAGCTAGGCAGAGATGCTGGCAAGGGCAAATTAGG